TCAACAGATGTTGCAGAAGAAAAGACTCATGGACTTCAAGATAGATCAACAAAGAAAATACAAAATGAAAGAAAAAAATGAGAACCTCTGCCCCCATGAGCTGTGAGATGACTTGTGAGTCCCCAAAGAAGCAGTGGATAAAGAAATATTTGACAAAATAATAACTGAAAATTTTCCAAGTTGTTAACACTATAGTCCCACAGATCTAAAAAGGTCAACAAACTCAAAGCACGAAAACATGAAGAAAAGTATGCCAAATCACATCATAGTAAAATTGCGTAACATCAGAGAAAGAGTAAAGTATTAAAAGCAGGCAGGAAATAAAGACGCTTAACATACAGAGGAATAAAGATAAGGGTGACAGCAGATTTCTCTTTGCAGATCATGCAAATAAGAAAACAGTGGAGAAATACACTTAAGTACTGAAAGAAAAAACTCAAGCTAGGATTCTAGTTCTAGGGAAAATGCCAGAAATGAAGGCAAAATAAAGCCCTTTTACATAAGTACAAAAGCTGAAAGAAGTCATGCCAGCAGACTAGCGATAAAGAACTTTCAAATAAAGTCCTCAAGCTGAAGAAATGATACCAAAAGGAAATGTGGAACCCTATCAGGGTTTCTCAGCCTTGGTGCTACTGACATTGTGGGCCAACAACTTGTTGCGAAGGGCTGTCCTGCGCAATACAGGATGTTTAGGAGCATAAATGGCATCTACTCACTACAACCCAGAAGCACCACCCCTCTGCTTGAGACAACCAAAATTGTCTCCAGACGTCGCCAAATGTCTCCCTGGAGGAAAAATCACCCCTGGCTGAGAGTCACTGTATTAGATGAATGAGTCTTTTCTTTCATATTTGCCTTCTCTTTATCCTTTTGAGCTATAATCTGAAAGAATTCCTAGGGTCAGGCATTTAGTTCACTAATTCACTACTCAGATATGGCTATTCAGCCCATCTATTTGAGGCATTTTTAAAAAAATACAGATCTTATTGGGGGGAGGTGATTAAGCCACTTTATTAAGGGGAATTGGGGACAGGCACAAAAAAAGGGTGTAAAACAGTGAGATCCGACATCTTCGGCCGGGCTGGGACCTCCCAGACTTTGCAGACTCAGAAAAACCAGATCTTGCTTTTAAGAGCCGTTTTAGGTTCACATCAATATTGAGCAGTTGCCATTTATCCTCTGCCTGTACACATGCACAGCCTCCCCGGTTATCAACATCCACAGTGATACGTTGTTACAATTGATCAACCTACACTGACAGGTCATTATCACCCCTCCTCCAGAATTTACATTAGGGTTCACTCTTGGTGTTGTAGGTTCTATAAGTTTTAATGGGTATGTGACACGGATCTACCCTCACACTAAATAGCTTCACTGTCCTAAGAATTCTCTGTGCTGCCTATTCATCCCTCCCTCCAACCCCTGAAAACTTTTTTAAACTTCAATTATTATAATTTTAATGTCTAATCTTTTTTCATTGTTTTTTGTCCTCCTTTCATAACTGCCCACTCTTTCCATACAATATCCATTTATCTTCCTGCAGATCTTTCTCCACTGGAGATTAACTCCAGTGGCTCTATTGACTTTTCCCCTTAGGTGTGAGAGTTCTATTTGTTGCCTGTGCTATCTTCCCGGAGATAACATTCCTTAAATGTTTGGTCATTATCGGGCACTTGTCTTTGTAATAAGAGACAGGATAGGTCATCTGTTGCAGGCTGACCAGCCTGCTGGGAAGGGTGGCAGCTGCTACTGCATGTTGCACCACATAACATTGTCTCAGTTGGGCTACCTCAGCAGTTGGTCTTCTCTCTGGCATCACCAGCCATGCTGGACATTATCTGGTCTCTCTGACTCCACCACTGTACTCACTATATCCACCTGGAAACACAAGCCTTATTGCTGCCTAATTGGCCCAAGGAGGCTTGAGGAATCACCTCTTCACCTATCCTTGGGCTCCACCCAGCTCCCTTCTTTACAGCCTTGCAAATAGATTCAGAGAATGAAATTTCCCCCTACCTGTCAACTCTCCCCCCCTTGCTCTTTTTTTTTTTTTTTTTTTTTAACAAAAGATCTCCTCAGTCCAAATCCCCCTTGCTCTTAACCCCATCCCTTCTCATCTCCTCCAGCACTTTGGTTCTTCTTTCTTCTGTCTTCAGTTTCCTTCTGTTAACTACCTCCATTCAGCCTATAAATAATATGTTAAGTCTCTACTTGCCCTTAATCTTGTATGCCTTTTAGCACCTCCTTTCTCAACTTTTTCAAAAGAGTTGACTACATGTCTAACGTTCTCCTCACTATTCCTGAGATTTCCCTTGCTAAATTCATCAGTGTCTCCTAATTGTTACGTACAACAGACACTTCTCGGATTCCCTCTCAGCTGCAGCTTACTGCCTGTGCTCTTGGCTTCTTTGACATTCCTAATTCCCTTTCCTTTCCTCTTCTTTTGACTGTCCTTAGGCTCCTGTGCATCCATTCACTTCTTAAATGTTGGTGTGCCCTTTGCTACTGGCTGCATTTGGCAAGAAATGAGATCAGTTTGCAGGCAAGAATGAAAGAAAATGAGTCCAGAAATGTGCAGATTTGCTGTGCTGGAAATGTCATGTTCTTCTGGACTCCAACAGGAGATAAAATTGAGAAGGTCTGTGAGAAGCCAATTGAAGTTCAACGTGTTGGCAAAGCATGCCTGAATTCAAATTCTGGCTCCCCCACTACCTGTGTGAACTTGAGCAAGATACTTGAACTTTTCTGTACCTCCGTTTCCTCATATATAAAATGGGGAACCACAGCACCTACCTCATAGGGTAGTCATCAAGGTTAAATTAGTGAGTACACGAAAAATGCTTAGAACAGTGCCCGGCACATGTTCAGAGCTCAAAGTTAAAGATTGTTATCATGGAGAAGGGCAGTCTTTGAGATGCTAGTCTCACTGCCCTCTTCATTTGCCGGCAAATTAATACATTTCTTTCCTTTTCCTTGAAAAAACAAACTGTCATTATGCCAGAAAAGAAGTGGCAGATGGCTTCATTAGAATAAGAATATGGATCTTTGCCCTTTTTTTAAAAAAAATCAAGACACTTTCACAACTGACTTTCTTTTATGGTTGACGGAGCAACTGAACGGCAGGTATCTCCATCTGACTGTCTCGCAGACAACCGAGCGCGTCCAAAGCCCACCTGTGCCATCTTCCCGCCCTGCGTTCCCGCGGGTCCCAGGTAAGGGCACCACCACCTTCCCAGCCGCAGGGGCAACCCTGGCTTCCGCCCTCTGCTCACGCGCACACGCACCTGCCCCCAGCTCCTGCCGACCTGAACCTACTTGAACCCTGAACCTGTCTAGAGTCGATCTTCGCCGCACGTCCCCGCCCGCAGCGTAGCGTCCGCCCGTCTCGCCTCGACTGTCCTCCCGGCCCCGACCTGGCTCCCCGCCCCTCCAACCCGTCCTCGGCGAGCGCTCCCGCCGCACCAGCCCGGGTGTGCAGGGCGCCGAGCGCGGGGAAGGCGAGGCAGGCCCGCGGAGCCCCCGTGCGCCCCGGCCGTGCGCCCTGCACAGGCGCGTGCGGAGGCGGCGGCGCTGCAGGCGCACGGGAGCGCGCCCGAACAGACGCCGCGCGCCGCCGGCTCCTCCCGGCCCGCCCGGGAGAGCAGAGGCCGGAGGCGACGCGCGGCGGGGCGCTGGGCGCCCGGACTCCGGGAACCGCCGCGACGCGCCCGGGCCCCGCCCCGCGCCACCTGACCCGCGCAGCCAATCGCCTGCCCACGCGGCCCGGGGGAGCGCAGGGCGCCTGGAAGCGCGCGGATTGGCCGGGGGGTGTCACTCAGCCAATCCGGACACGCCCCTGGCCTCGCGGCCCCGCCCCTCCCGCCCGCCCTGGGCTGCCCGGGCGTCGGGGGTCCCGAGCGGGCGAGCGGGGATGGAGGCGGCCGCGGCGCCCGGCAGGGACGCGCGGGGACGCGCCGTGAGTCCGCCCGCCGGCTGCCGGGACGAGAGCCCGCCGGAGAGGTGCGCGCCGCGAGGGGAGGCCGGTGGGCGCCGCTGGGCCGGGAGGACGGCGCCGGCCGGTGGGCCTGCCGGGCGGGGTCGCCTCCGGGAGGACGGAGGGCGCCGGCCGTGGGCGCTGCCCAGGTGGGGTCCGCTCCCGGAGGACGGGGGCGCCCGGCCTGTGAGCGCTGCCAGTGGGGGGTCCTCCCGGGAGGACGGAGGGCGCCGGCCTGTGAGCGCTGCCAGGGTGGGGGTCCCTCCCGGGAGGACGGAGGGCGCCGGCCTGTGGGCGCTGCCGGGCGGGGTCCTCCCGGGAGGACGGAGGGCGCCGGCCGGTGGGAGCTGCGGGGGCGGGGGTCCCTCCCGGGAGGACGGAGGGCGCCGGCCTGTGAGCGCTGCCAGGGTGGGGTCCCTCCCGGAGGACGGAGGGCGCCGGCCTGTGGCGCTGCCCGGGGCGGGGTCCCTCCCGGAGGACGGAGGGCGCCGGCCTGTGAGCGCTGCCAGGGCGGGGGTCCCTCCCGGGAGGACGGAGGGCGCCGGCCTGTGGGCGCTGCCTGGGCGGGGGTCCCTCCCGGGAGGACGGAGGGCGCCGGCCGGTGGGAGCTGCGGGGGCGGGGGTCCCGCCTGGGAGGACGGAGGGCGCCGGCCGGTGGGCGCTGCCGGGGCGGGGGTCCCGCGAGGGCTGTCCGCGGGGAAGGCCTAAGTCAAGGATGCGAGTCTGAGGAGGAGGGACGAGGCGGGGCGGTGACATTCGGCTGACACCCGAGTGACAACTAGGAGTCAGTTTACAAGTTCTGGGAAAGGAGAGCGTGCCGGCCTTAACAGGAACAACCCGCGTTCTGTAAAATGACATGAAGAGGTCGACTCTGGCCCAAGAGGTCCTGAGCGAGTGGTCCCGAGGCAGTTGGGTTTCAGTTTGGTTTCGTACACTTTAGAGAGACAGGAATTTCAGGTAAAATCGTCAGTCAGTACGTGGAAGCTATACAGTGGTTTGGGCCCAAAGGTGGAACCTCTTGAAGCTGGGCTGGGGGGCGCTTGCAGGTTGTAGGTGGGTTCAACGATTCTTTGGTTTGTAGTTGGTTAAAGAAGTGAAGCCTCGTCTAAAGGCTTGGAATGTTTTGAGGAAGTCGGTTGATCAGAGACAAGCCCCTGTATCCTCAGTAGACGCACAGGACCTGTTTAGCAGTTGATGGCCTGCACGTGTGCATTTAACCTTTGCTCTGCAGGGCCTGAGGTCCTGTTAATAATTTAGCGTCTTGTTGTCGCAGAGTCTGTTTTGTCAGACTTAGGATCTCTTGTTTGAACATTAATGCTGGTCACTTGTCTCGACTCCAAGGGAAGGAGGCATGCCTGACCTCCCTTCCCTTCATGGCCAGGAGCTCAATTTTAAGGTTTTCTGGGGTCCCCTTGCCCAAAAGGGGCCCCATTTTGTCAGTGGAAGCCTTGGGATTTTCTCTTAGTTCACACCAGGAAGAGGCGGAAGCAGCAGGTATCCCATGTGGCCGGAGAGGCCGGAAGATCGGGCTTGTTGGAGATGACCCGCAGAGCCCAGGAGGGACTTGGGGGTTTGAGCAGGGGAGTGACGTAACTTAAGTATGTGTTGAAGGAGCACTGGCTGCTTCCTAGAAAGTAGGGGTGGGGTGGTTGCGGGACAGGGACCAAGCGGGGAAACCAGGTGGGACTCTTTTGTGGTGATCTGGGGGGGGGTGCGGTGTGGACGGATGGGAGATTCTGGGAGATTCGCTGGTGTGCTGTGTAGGAGAAAGGAGGGATTGAGAAGGTTGCCTGCCAGGCAACTGCTCCGAGCAACTGGGAAGTGGGGGCGACCACCGCAGAGAGGGGGAGACAGGGGCGCCTGGTGTCCACACTGCTGCTTAGGTCTGAGCGGGCAGGAGGGGACGTGTGCCTCTTCTCGTTTGGGAGCCTTGTCCCTCCAATCCAGGAATGCGCTAAGTCCTTTTTAAAATAATCCTGCTCACTGCCATGCCTGGAATATGAGGGGAGTCTGGGTCCGTGCCTGAATCACGTCCGTGTCTCCTTTGGTTGGGACAGTGAGCCTAGCTGGGAAAGTGTCCCCTAGGGAAGCTGTGGAGAGGAGACTCCAGGCCTTTTTGTGTTTTGGTTATGAAACTAACAGAGTTTAGCCTCCTTACCCAATGTGGATAGCACTTTCTGGAAGTGGCAAATAATGGAGCAAAGTAATCTGTAAAATACCCATCTGAAATTCAAGTTGTAGATTAGTTCAGCCAGGCAACAGATTGAAAAGCTGCAGTCACAGCAAGCACTAGCTAGCTTGAGGTACCACGGGATGCTTATGTGTAGGAAAGAACAGATGTGAGGGCACACACAGAGTCACAGCAGGGCTGGGAAATTCCTGGACTATTTATACTAATATCAGAGTGGTCAAGGATGATGAGTCAGACTTCCCAAAGCCTTGTACCTGCTGGATGGTTTTGAATGGAAAAGATGCCGCATTGAAACTAATGTACTTTCTGCCCACCTCCTGTGGCTTAACAGCCATGGTTAGTTACTTGTGTCTGAGTTTTCATGTGGATTGGTCTAAACCAATTGTAGAAACCAATTGTTGTTTATTTAAAAATGAGCTTAATTCATTAGTAGTGTCAGGCAGGATTGCCTACTATATATTAATATATTTCTGAAGGTTTCTGAAGGTTCTTGATATTAGTTAAAAGATGTGCAGATAAATTTTACTTAGTGAGAGGTCTTTCGCGGGATTTGTGTTTTCTGTGGCATTTACTTTGTCATCTTATGAACCGAGCCCCTGCTGTGTGGCAGCCCTGGTCTCCAGCCCTGGTGACAGAGTCCTCACGGCTGCACTTCTGTCACTGTGCTGAGGCGGACAGTAAGGACTAAAGCTGGTGTGTCAGGGGGTGATGACGCTCCCAAGAGAGTAGGAAGGGGCGGGGGCCTGGAGTGCTGGGGTGGGAGGGGTGGAGGTGGCTGCAGTTTTAAGGAGTTTGGGAAGCCACACTGGGGGGACCAGTTGGAGCAAAGACCTAAAAAAAAAGTAGGGGCAGGACGTGGCCATTCTAGACAAACAAAACCAAAAGTGCAAGGCCTGGGGCCCAAGGGTGCCTCCCGCAGGGAGAAGGTCGGTGTGGTGGGAGGAGGAGGGGCAGGAGGAGGAAGTGGCACCAGAAATCACCAGAGTCTCACAGCCCATGGCGGAACAGGTGCAGGGAAGTGAAAGAAAACCAATGAAGTGAGAACAGCTAACTGTTTTCTTTCCTGCAGGAAAGTTTACATGGACTATAATGCAACCACGCCCCTGGAGCCAGAAGTTATCCAGGCCATGACTGAGGCCATGCAGGAAGCCTGGGGAAATCCCAGCAGTCCTTATCTAGCAGGTAATTCTAGAGGACATGCACTCGGCACTTGTTCACAAGTTAGAGATAATGGGGGCCACAGGCACTTTTGGAGAAACTGTACACCCATGTGTGTTGATGGCTTTGTTTGAATAGATTTTCTATTAATTGCAAATCTTTAGCTGCAATTTTTTCCTGAGAAGTCCAGATTTGTAAGCTGAGCCTTGTTGATACAGTAATCTTTAACCTTTAATGTTTAATCTTTAACATGCTCTCCTGTCACCCTTTCCCAGGTGAGAAAGGTGTCTTATTGGGAGTTATTTGTAATGCCAGCACCTGTTACACCCTGCTGCATACCCAGCTCAGTTGATCCTTACAGAATTTGCAAAATGTATCTTTTAAATTTGCAAAATGTATCTTTTAAATGTATCTTTAAAATAATGTAATCCTAGCCTTTTTAAAAAATGAAAGTTACCATTACATTTATTACTTTAGTTACAACTATTCATATTGTTTCCAACTGGTTCTTTTAATGCAGAACATTAAATCGGAGGTTTTGGAAAACAATTTGCTTCAAGTCAGTAGTTAGTGGCAGAGCTACATTACAATTTCAGGCAGGCAGGATAAAGTTTACCTTTCTTATTTAATGTTTATTAGGGATAATTAAGGTAAACTATCTTAAGTATGGATTGTGATGAGCTAAAGTAGCTCTTTAAACAGGATGTTGCCAAGCCCTGGGGTTTAGTAGTACTTATGTACAACTCTATAGCATTTAATGTGTTTTCATATCCATTTGCTTATTAAAGTTTCGCAGCAACTTGGTGACTAGAAGGTTTTTCAGTTCAGGTGCTAATCATCCATTAATTTATTTGTGGTTATTTAGTACATGTATCCCGGCTAGTCTCCTGGGCATTGCCTTGTATCTAGTCTCTCCTCTAGTAAAATTGGACTTTCTGGTATTTTAAACTTGAAAATCTGGAGAATAATTAAATGCTGATACACAAAGCATTACTGAATGAGGAAGTCTGGGATAACTTGAGGGAGAGGTGAGGTTCTTGCCCTGAGTGAAGCCTATCGAGGAGCAAGGGTGGCGTAACTCAGCCCGGGCTGCCCAGGCGTTCGGTCTCACCACCCCTTTACTCTCCTAACGATTATCAAGGACTCCAGAGAGCTTTGTTCACGCAGGCTATATATGTGCATATTTGCCATATCAGAAATTAAACTGAGAAACTTAAAAAAAATCGGTATTTAGTAATTTATTAAAATAGGAATAAATTCATTACATGTTAACTTTTATGAAAAACAAACTATCTTTTGTAAAACAGAACAAATTTAGCGGGAAGAGTAACATTGTTGTAGCCTGGCAATTTCTTTAGTGTCTGCTAAACAGCAGACACCTGGTCCGGTCCTGCGTCCTGCCCGGTGTGCTGCAGTGTTCGCCTTCCGTGGCTCTGGGAGGCTTCACTGCAGACGTGGGAGGAAGGCGGATGATGGCTTAGAGTCATTATGAAAATAGTTTTGGCTGTGTGGGCCTCTGAAAGGGCCTTGGGCACTCCAGGCTTGCCTGGACCACATTCGAGAGCAGCTGGTTTAACCAGCCTCGGTCGAGGCACCTGCTGCATGCCCCGCACTGTTCTGGGGTGAGGGAGAGCGCAGTGCACAGACCTGCTTGGGTTTTTGAGGCATTTCTTCTGTTCTGTCCCCTACGTGCAGAATGGACCATGGTGGGTCGTTGGAGTCGGGGGGCCTGCCAGGAGAATCTGGTGGCAGTGGCCGAGAAGGGGAGTCAGAGTCTGAATGTGTTCAGATGGGAGAACCCACAGGATTCGCTGACAGATGGGCATGGGCAAGGAAAGTGCGGCACTTTGGCCTGGGCCCTGGGGGGCCTGGTTGCATCTACTGAGATAGGAAAGGCCAAGAGAGGAGCAGGTCTGGGGAGAAATCCAGCATCCAGCCCTGAGCACGTGCAGTTTCAGGTGCCTGTCGGGCAGCCGGGTGGAGAGAGCGGGGTCCAGACGGAAATTTGGGGAACAAAGTCTCAAGTTGCCGTGGGGATGGGGTCTGAGGAGCCAGTCAGGGCGCATGGCCGCCTGTAGTCTGGAGTTGGAGCTGGGCCCAGTACGGAGACTGAGGAGTCTTGGCCTTGGAAGGAAGGAACGAGAGGGCCCCCAAGGACCGTGTCAGAGAGGATGGGGTCCTGGGGAGAGCTGCCGGCGGGGGAGGAGGTAAGGACTGCACACGCCTGGGTTAGGCTCCGGCCACTTGAGGACCTTGGTAAGGGTAGGTCTGGGGGCCCAGGGGCCTGAGTGCCTGACCTTGGTAGTTCAGAAGAAAATGGACTGAGGAGTGGAGAGAAAAAAGGGACAGAAGGGAGGTAGAGGGTAAGGAGTCTCTGGGTGAGGAACAGCCAAGTGACAGTGAGCACCACATACGCACACACCCATCCCGTTTGCTTTTTCACTTTGCATGGCAGGAATTCTGGGGTCCCTCTGATGCTCAGCTTTAACCATCGTGTCGTGCCAGGTCCCCATAGGATTATTTTCTGCCCCTCTGTGGTTTTGTAACTGTGCTCTTCCCATTTCATTACACTGACAATGATGCAGCCTCCCTGCTTCTCACTGTGTACGTTGCACACAGAAGAGTTGAAAGAGTACTAGAGTGGATACCTGTGTATCTTCTACCCAGATGCAACAGCTTTGCCATATTTGCTTCATCTCTTTCTTTCTAAATTTACATGAGTTTTTTTTTTTTTTTAGTTATTTGAGAGTCACAGCCAGTGAGACAGGTCCCCACCAGAGTGAAGCACGCGTGTCTCTAACACATGTGTCTCTAACACGTGTGTCCACCACTCTCAGAAGTTTCCTGGTTCCCCTTCATAGTCCTTGCACCAGCCAGTCCCCAGGCAGCCACTGGGGTGCCCTCTGCCACTGTGGGTTAGTGTGCTCTACCTACAGTTTTATAACAATGGAATCAGAAATTTTCCGTCTGGTTTATTTCAGTCAGTGTAATTGTATTAAGCTCATCCATGTTGGGCGCGTCAGTTTGTCCCTCTCAACTGCTGCTGAGTGGCGGTCCACCATGTGGAGGCACCACATTTACCGGTGGATGTTTGAGCCGCCTCTGGTCTGGGGCTATCGTAAATAACGCTGCATGCAGTGAACACTCGTGTCAGGTCTATGGACAGTCGCCTGCTTTCTTTTCTCTTGAGTGAACAATATTTACCATAAACACCTGGGAGTAAAATGGCTAGATCACACGGTGGGTGTACCTTAGACCTTTCAAGGAACTGCCCAGCTCACCCCAAGTGGCTGTGCCATTTTCTGTTCCCGCCGGCAGCATGTGAGCCCCCACCTGCTCTGCGTCCTCCCAAGCACTTGGCGGGGGGCGGGGGGGGCCAGCCTTTTGACTTGAGCTGGTCCAATAGGTAGACAGTGGTAGTGAGCTAGCTTTGTGTGTCCTTTTTCAGAAAGGTCTCCAGACTTGTTGGTAAGTGGATTAAAGGAAGTTTCTTGAAAAGCAATATGTAAATTATGAAACCCACTTTTGGAACGAAAAGAAGGAAATCTGTGAAATGCTTGCATGAATGTGTATAGGTCCACTGGGAGGTTAGGAGCTACGCAGCACATCGGTGGCGGCGGGCTCCCTGGGCGGAAGGTGGGAAGAGAAGCAGGAATGGGGCTCCTGCTTCGGAATCGGCCCTGTGGCTCCTCAGACGGGGAGGCTTTCAGCAGAGTCCGGGAGGAAGAATGGGGATGTGTCTGGAGGACAGGATTTGAGCCATACTCCAAGTGGAGCTAAGAGCATGTGCCAGGCAGTCCTGCTAGACTTACTGGCAGTTTGTTATAATCCTTTTAATGTGTCATCAATTAAAAGGACCAAGTTTTCCTAAACACCATAGACCTTAAGTACTTAAAATTAAAACCTATACAGTGGTTTTAAGGAGCTTGAGAATTACTTGCATATTTATTTTTACCTCATCTTTTTATATTTTTATGATGTTTTGTAATACATATATTTTAGTGGTGCCTGCTCAATATTTTTTTTTTTTTTCAAATAAGACTGAACTGCCAGCAACTCGGGGTGGCTCACGCCTGTAATTCTATCACTCTGGAAGGCCGAGGCGGGAGGATCACTTGAGGTCAGGAGTTTGAGACCAGCCTGAGCCAGAGTGAGACCCCGTCTCTACTATAAATAGAAAGAAATTATTCAGGCATGGCGGTACACATCTGCAGTTCTACTTACTTGGGAGGCTGAGGCCGGAGGATCACTGGAGCCGAGGTGTTTGACGTTGCTGTGAGCTAGGCTGATGCCACTGCACTCTACCTGGGGTGACAGAACAAGACTCTCTGTCTCCAAAAAAAAAAAAGACTAAATAGTCAAAAAAGTTTGGAGACTACTGGTGTATATACACCAAGAACGGTCACCAAATTTTTCAGAATTCCCATCCCAGGGTGCTTCTCTGTCTGCCACATGGAGTGCGGTCCCTGTGTTTTCCTGTCGGCCAGTGGAACTGGGCGGTAGCCGGGCTGTGGAGCCCTTGCTTGAAAGCAGACATGTCCCCGAGACGGTAGCCTTCTGAGTCCAGGTGACACCCAGGGCGACCTGCGGTGTGAGGTGTGCCATTGTGTCGAGGAGTTACGAAGTTCTGTTTTTGCTTATTTTTGTTGTTTTGCAGTGTGATCTTAAGCAAATTATCCCGCCCTTTCACTCTCCTGTCTTGATGACTGGGAAGCAGGGCAGATGGCCACAGCTTCCCTCTCCTCTAGCGCCCGGTAAGAAGAAAGCCTGTCTCAGGGAGCCGCAGGGTTCCCGGCGTCCTCCTCTATCTGTTGCTGCATCTAAGCTACTTAAATTCCAGCAGTTTTCACTGACTTGCTAATATCTCACTGCTGCTCCTCTGCCGAGTTATTTCTAGGTTGTAGTGCGTTGTAGTGGTCACATTAATGGGACGTGTTTCGTCTTAGAATTGCCCACTCGGATCTTTTACTCCTTTGTGTTTGGTGGTTCGTTTAAATGTGTTGGTTGGCCAGCCGTGGTGAAGCAATGTTAATGAATTCCCTTTTTTGGTCCCTCAAGGTAGAAAGGCCAAGGATATTATAAACGCCGCCCGGGAAAGCCTGGCGAAGATGGTAGGTGGGGCGCCCCAAGACATAATCTTCACTTCCGGGGGCACTGAGGTAAGGTTTCCAGAAAGACTCACATTCTTACGGTTGCAAGTTGTAATAAAATGGAGAAGGTGCTTCCCTCTTGGATTGTTTTCAATCCAAACAATACCTCTTGCTATTGTTTTCTTTTTAAAGAAAGAGTAAGTAATGCGCAGTTTTGCTGTATTGCAAATTAGCTTGAAATATTTAGCCAGTGTTTATCCTGTAAGAAAATTCCAGGTGGCTGATAGGCTATTTGTAATACGGCGTGTCAAGTAACTTGCTTTACATTGCTGTCTCAACAAAGAACGTTTCCCCTTCACTTTTGCTCTAGAATCATTCCTTCAAATCCCTGCTAATTTGTTTGCCTTAAGAGTGTGAGGCTTGGCCCGTTTCAAACGTGCTCATTTTAAAATTGACATGAGATGCTCAAAGACACTGTGGCGGGCATCACGGTTTCTATTCAGTCAGTAACACTCTGTGTCTCATTTCCTTACCGGGAAGGAGGGCACAAGGGTCAGCCCCTGGTGATTTGACTAGCCACGTGAGAAACCCAAAGGAACGTACAGCTAGATTATTAGAGCTTGTGACAAAATTTAACAAAGTTTTTAGATATAAAAATCAATTGGATTTTTATATGCCAGCAGCAAACAAGTATTTACCAGAGCATCAAAAAAAAAAAAAAAAAGTCAAATACTTAGGAAATAAATCTAGTAGAAGAGAATTAGTAAGATCCCTCTCCCTCCCACTGGGAAAGTTAGAAATAGTCCCGAGAGCCTTCAGAGAAGTTCTAAATAAATAAAACAATGTATCGTGTTCACAGATTGGAGGGTTCGTGATACTTTGTCCCAAATTGATTTGTAGAGTCATTGCTGCCTCCATCAAAATTTTGACAGTCTTTTGGTGGGCTCTCACGAGCTAATTTACATGGAAATCCAGAAGGCTGAGAATAGCCAAGACTTCCTGGAGACAGAGAGCACAGCGAGGGGACTGCTCCCCAGAAGCCAAGCCTTTTATGAAGCCCTGATGATGGAGGCAGGGTGGCTTCAGGGCGAGGGCGGACAGTAGGCCAGGAGCAGAGCCGTGTGCGGGTGGACACTCGTGTGACAAGGGTGACCCTACATCCTGCGGTGAACCTGCCGTCCCGGCGTAGCTGTGCTAGTGCTCTCCTGCTGTCCCGTGTCTCCCCGACTCGGGGTCGATGGCGAGGCCGTCCCACATGCGGAGGGAGGAGGACGGCGGGAAGGAAGAGCAGTCTCTTTGGTAATGGTGCTGGGACGGTGTGTAACCCCAAAGATAAGTCATTGACTTGTGCTCACAACATACAGAAAAAATGACTTTAGGTGGAATAAAGACCAAACCGTGAAAAGTAAAATTCATAAAACTTTTTAGGTGATAAGTTAATATCCTTATAATGTTTAAGAGTGAACAGATTTCTTAAGATACAGAAAGAGTTAATCATAAAAGAAAACACTGATGAAGTCTATCACAACAAAAACAAAACAGACTTCAGTTCATCAAAGAACACCTGCGAGTGGGGGCCTCCTGGTCTCGGCCTGGGGCCAGGCGTCATGGAGTGTGGTGGCCTGGGAGGGCCTGGGTGCATTTTTAGGTGTGGCCTCCTAGTTCTGACAGATGGCTGCTGTGTTCCCAGCGCCCTTGGCGGGGAGTGTGGCCGTTGCCAGCTTTCTTGGGAATGGCTGGGTTCTGCCCATCAGTGTGGAGCCCTGGCCTCCTCTTGGAAGCCACCTGCGGTGGCAGTGAGAATATGGCACATGTGGGAGGGGCTCAGCACATCGCCACCGTTTGGATCGTCTTTTACACTGCCATCCTCTCTGGCTGCGGATCCCTAAGGTGACCAAGGGACCCCTTCCACTAGGATCGCAGGGCCCCTGCAGTGCTGAGAGCGCTTCTCCTCTCTGGACCCCAAATCTGTGTTGGACATCAGTGTTTTTTACAAGGTGATGACCTGGCCCCTTTAGAGAACCATGCACCTTTTTAAAGAAACATATCTGAGTCACCCATCCCTGACCGTCTCCTCGCCTTTCTTTAATGTGACGCATCTCAGATCTGGACGAAACACTGCATTGGCTTCCTCGGGCCTCCCCCCATGGACCTGTTAAGCTGTCAGGGGCTGTGAGTCTTCCGAGCACAGTACAAGGAGCGTCTAGCAGGTCCCATCGTGGCATGTTTTCAGATACTTGATTAGTTCTAATCTATAATTGAAAGACAATTCAGTTCAATTCCATTCCTCTGAAGGTGAAAAAGAGGCCAAACAGTGTTGTTTAGGGATGCTTACATAGGAAGTAAAAGTATAAAGAAAAGCAAGGAAATGGTGACTGGGAAAGTCGGGCTGGAGGTTAGCTCTGCGGGCGTGGGGGGCTGCCGGGGGGCTTCAGCATTGCTGGAGGGTTCTTTTTCATTAAACTGCACAGTTATATTTTACACACTTTTCTGCTATATTTAACAAAAAAAAATTTTTTTTTAAAGTTTCCCATTCCCAACGCTGCATTCATTCACCTCCTCTGCCTGCAGGAGACCAAAATTATTAATTTTACATCCTCCAGAGATGACGCGTTAAAAGCAAATGTGTAGAGATTTGTGTGTTCTTTTCTTCTTCCCTTCTTACCTTTTCAAGTATTTTTTTTTTTGCATATATAAGCAAATGTATATGTCTCTCCCCCTTTTTAAACAAAGCATAGGATATTATATAATGTGTGCCACCTTTTCCATACTTGAGATCTTTGAACATCAGCAGAGAGCGTGTTTTCTCAGTGCTTTTCACGTCTGGTTGGCCCACACTGAGCGGATGTTGTGTGATTCACTTGCCAGCTCCCCTTATGGTGCCCATTCGCAGGCTGTCTGAGGTCTTGCTGCAGTCAACCTTCACACACGCCGCGCTGCTGCAGTGTGAACGCAGCGGTAGGGGAAGCTCCGGGAAGTCAGAGTGCTGGGCCACACGGCGTGTTTGGTGCATGTGCCAAAGGGCCTTGCGAAAGGTTGCACCAGTTCATACTCCCAGCAGCAGTGGTCACCTGGGCGAAATACTCTTTTTTGACAGACAGATTTATAAAATTAAAAAATTTATAATATTAACAATTAGACATAATTGTCTGGAAATGAATCTCAGGTTTTTGAAAGTTTGAAATCTTTCGAGTTTTTGAAAGATTTGCAAATCTTTCAAAAGGTGCAACTCAGGAAGTTTAATTTCTTTGAAGCCTTTTTTTTTTTTTTTTCAAAATGTTAGCCACAAAAGGAAAATAACAGGTGAGAGATTGTTAGTGACTCTTCCCTTGGGACGAGTTTTGTAAATGCTTTTTCTGCTGTGTCTCTGCAGTCAAATAATTTAGTGATCCATTCCGTGGTGAAACACTTCCACGAAAACCAGGCCTCCAAGGGGGACGCAGCTGAGCACCACAGCCCCGTGGCGGGGGCCAAGCCCCACTTCATCACGTGCACGGTGGAGCACGACTCGATCCGCCTGCCCTTGGAGCACCTGGTGAAAGAGCAAGTGGCCGGTGAGTGACGGCAGGGGCCAGCCTGGAACCCGCCCGCAGGACTCCGGGCGGGCGAGGGGCGTGGCCCGGCAGAGCCTGGGACGTGTTCTGGAGGTGCGGGTTCAGCTCTCCGCCGGCCTGACTCGCTGACCCTGCCCGGAGGGAGCCCGGCCCCAGGCCACTGGGAGCCACGGCCGCTGGCCGCGCGGGGCTCCCGGCTGCCCTCGTCCACTCAGAGGCTGCACGTGCCCCCGGCTGCCAACGCCGCCAGACTTTTCCCGAGGAAAAGCATTGAAGGTCGACGTGTAGAACTAGTCATTCGTATTATTGAATGATACCGGAACCCCTTGTATATAGTAAATATTTAATCTGTAAATAGTATGTCTACAAATTGACAAATATGTTTTTCATTATTTACTTTTAATCGTTAAATCTTGGCTCTGTTAACTAAAAAAAAAAATTATTAATGAGGTTTATACTTTGGACAAAAGAGGGCTTTATTTCCCAGCCGGAAGCCAAAAGAGCCAAAAGGCAACAGGATTGCATACTGAGCCCTGTGGTCGAATGTGCATGTTTAACAAGCTGTAGGAGTCATGAATATTTATGAAGGGAAATGATGCCCGTGTAATTGTGCTTCATCTCTTCCATCCCGTCATGACTGGGAACTCAGTTTTAAGGTGTTTCTGGGGTCCCCTTGGCTGAGAGGGGTCCACTCGGCCAGAGGGCTTAGAGTTTTATGTTTAGTTCAGAGCTTGCACTCCCCTGATACGAGTAGCAGGATCAAAGAGACATAAACTTAGGTGTGAAACAAGAATGAGGCAGTGAGGGCCTCTCTCTGGGAGTGGGAGAAGAGCAGCATGCGGCCACCGGAGGGTGGGGCAGGCCTGGCCAGCAGGGACTGTGGCCGTGGCCGGGCCTTTCGCTTTGCCGGGCGTGGGAAGCCTCCAGGGAGAGAATCTTGTTCATGGCTTAGACCACTAACTTGTGAAAACATTAAGAGCCTTTTTCCACCCCCAGGGCAGCCAAGGTTAACTAATACTCTGCTTTAAATAGATTTTCTTCTCCACGGTAGCTTTCTTGTCTAATCTGTCTGGAAACCTGGAGGTGAATAGAGGAAAGTTTTTATCTTGAAGATTAAGGGACGGCATCAGAGCTGCTTGGTTTCGACTGTGAAGCCTTTTCATTGATCTTCCTGTTTGACTCCTGGAAAATTTTGTCTCTTTATGGTCTTCCTTGAATGCTTGCCAACGGGTGAAAATGGGAAGGATTTAGATGCCAAGATTAAATTTTTACCACTTAAAAAAAGTCCAATCTAACTTTCTTAAACTGTAGTTACTTTTAATCCCTGGTACTTTTTATTCCCTGTGTCTGACTGGTACTGGGTAAGGCAACTTAGGATGCGTTGCTGTTAGTTACTGTTCTGTTTAACCTTTTGTTTAAGATCATACACATTTTTTAGAAGTATGGACGTGGCAACTCCGTGTTTAACAGTAAGCTTTGTCTTCCAAAGTAGCTGTACCATTTTATATTCTTACCAGCAGTGTGTGAGGGTTCCAGTTTCTCCATTTGGCATTTCTGGCATTTGTTGTCTATCTTTTTTATTATAGCCATCCTAGTGGGTGTAAAGAGACAGCTCATTCTGGCTTTGATCTACACTTCCCTATGGCTAACAGTTTGAGCCTCTTTTCATTATTTATTGCCTCTATTCATGCTTCATTTCTTTATTGGTGGTTTGTATATGTCTTCTTTGGACAAATGTCTATTAAAATATTTGCCCATAGTTTAATTGGATTACTTTTTATTAAGTTTTAAGAGTTCTTTATATATGCTTGATATGTGTCCCTGGTCAGATGTATGTTTTGCAAATATTTTCTCCTGTTGTGCAGGTTTTCTTTCTCTCGATGGTATCCTTTGGAGAGCAAAAGTTTTTCATTTTGACAGAGTCTAATTAATTTTGGTCCCTTGCATCATATCTCAAAAGATTTTGACCTACCCCAGATTATGAAGATCACTCCTGTATTTCCTTGTAATAGTTTTAGCTCTTACATTTAGGTCTGTGGCTCATTTTGAGTGAACTTTGTGTATGGTGTGAGGTAGAATCCAGATTCACTCTTTTGCGTCCAGTCGTCTCAACACATTTGTTGAAAAAACTCTTTTTCCCGCATGAATGATCTTGGCACCCTTATCAAAAATCAGTTGACTCTACAACAAGTGAGGGTTTATTTCTTGACTCTCAGTTCTATTCCATTGATCAGTATTTCTGTTCTTAGATTGTTACCAAACTTTTATGATTACTTTAGCTTTGTATTAAGTTTTGAAATCGGAAAGTAAGAATCCCCCAAATTTTTCTTTTTCAAGATTATTCTGGCTATTCTGGGTCCTTTGAATTCTCAAAAGAATTTTGCCATCAGCTCATTAATTTCTGCAAAAAAAAAAAATCAATCTAGCTAGAAGTTTGATGGGGATTGCGTTGAATATTGCCATCATAACAATACTAAGCCTTCCAATCCATGAACTCTAGGGCTTGCTATATACTTGTTGGCTTATCAATATTGGCTTCAGATTTATATTAATTCCAGTGAGATACAGAGATGTTACTTCTACATAGTTCTTATTATTGGGCGTGTTGCATCTGTATATGTTATGCACCCAGCAGTGCATTGTTACAAATGTTATTCTACTTAATTTCATGTCCTTTAAGGAAACTAAGGGAAGAAAGATAAGGTATATATTTATAGAGTTTGTTCTGTTAACCTCCTTCATTACCTTCCTTGTTCCGTGGATCTGAATTGTCATCTGGTGTCACTTCCTTCATCCAGCACAGTCTTGCCCCCCACCAGCTCCTTTGCGCTGCTGTTATCAAATATTTCACATTCTCTTATGTTACAGCTCCACCAATACAACTGTACACATGCTATTTTAATACAGATTCTTTCAGAATCCAGTAAGAGAGGAAAGAAGGGGCGAGCAGTTACGCTGCCTGACTGCCTTCGCTGGCGCTGCCTGTTTCTGCTCCCGTGGGTTCGGATCCCAGTCTGGGGTGACTTGTTTTTAGCCTGAAGAGCTTCCTTTCTTATCTCTCATAAGGCAGGCTGCTAGCAGTGTATTTCCTCTGCTTTGTTTATCTTGGAATGTCTTACTCCACCTTCATTCTTGAAAGATAGTTTCGTTAGATGGAGGATTCCTGGTGGGCTGCTTCAGCACTTGGATGTCGTCACAGTGCCTTCTAACCGTGTTGTTTCCGGTGAGGAGTCATCTGTTAATTTCACTGGGGTTTGTCAGGTCCGGCCCGAGAGGGAGGGAGGGGGGAAGGTCGGGAGTGTAGCAGGAAGCTTTGAGCCGGATCACAGCTTGTACAGAGTGAGGGTCGGGAACAGAGTGTGAAAAAGGCTTGGACATGGGGAATCCCGGACCAGTTTACATTGCGGTGACAGAAATTGTCCAGATCTTGTAATATGCTAAAATCAAAGGTCCCATTTTCCGGGCCACTGTGAGCTATTGTCAAGTTTATATTGTGGCCAAACTGTATTACAGTAAAAGACAAGCCGTTTTGGCTGGATTTCGTCAGTAAGACCTAATGCTTTGAGATTTTGAAGGAGACATCCCAAGGGGATAGTTTCAGGAGGAGGAGGCTGGGAGTGTCCCATGTCCCTGGATAGAGTAAAAGTCACTCGAGGCCGATTCCACTCAATTTTAGGCGTCCCCAAAAACGAGGCAAGGGCAGAGGAGAAGAGGGCTACTGGTTGGAACAGACTCCCTGGATCCAACGGTGCCTGAGGCCAAAGGGCCTGGGGTTTTTCCAGCCCACTGGTGGGACTTTTGAGCCAAGAAGCGAGAGTAAGAGAGAGATTGGAGGAACCCGAGAACGAGCTTCTGAGCTCCTGCTCAATGGGAGCAGGATGTCTCCAGGATGTGGATTTGAAGGTCAGCGAAGGAAGACCCACGGATCTTCTTGGGGGCGAGAGATAGGAGGAACTCGAGAGCGAGTTTGTGAGCTTTTACTCCCCGAGGATGAAAAGTGGATTGTGAAGGTCAGCACAGGGAAGATCCGAGTCCCTGTCCATCCGATGTCTGTCTCTCAGCTCGGTTCAGGAGGGTCCGGGTAGACAGTTACCTGGACCAAGCTAGAGCGCTCTGTCTACACTCCAGAACCAGAGACAAGTTAGAGAGAGACCCCCGCACAGCTCGGGACTTCTCCCAGTGACCTTGTCAGAGACAAGGGAGGTTTGTGGCTCCAAGGGACAGGATCTACCAAGGAGACTGGTTCCTCTCCATTTAGTGAAAGATCCATGGAAACCTTGCAGGTGACCCATGGACTCAGAGGGAGGCAGGATTCAGGAGCGGGCCCAGGTTGAGCTGCCGCTGCCTACTGTTTTCCAGGTTGCGAGACCTGCCTGCTAGAGTCCCAGAGGTCGTGTCCACCTGGTGTACCCTCCCGGGATTCGGCACCAAATGTTAGGTCTGGAGCCGAGAGCAAGACCCATGAAGCCTCATGTGTAGCAGAATGCTGTTTGTTTTGGGCATCTGAGTGCAGATGGGTGGAGGCAAAAAAGCTTCCAGCCCAGGAAGGGGGAAGGTGGTGGGTTTTATAGAGGGTTTTCCCAGGGGGAGTAAGTAAGCGGGCCAGCTTCTAGGACTCCTGCCCCAGTCTCATCCATCCTGCAGCTCAGGACAGATAAGGAGGGATAAACTTCGTCCCTGTGTTGGGGGGAGGAATGCCAAGCTCCCCCTTTGCCTTCCATTCCTTTATCTCTCTCGGGGCCTGAAGGCTACTTGCCTGATAGAGTTCACTTGTACGTGATGAGTCATTTTTCTCTTGCAGCTTTCAAGATATTTTCTTTGTCTTCAACATTTTTATTATCATGTGTCAGAGAATGAATGTGTTTATCCCACCTGTAATTCCTTGAGCTTCTTGGATATGTAGGTTAATGTTGTCCATCCTATTTGGGAAGGTTTTTAACCATTATTTTTTGAATACTTTTTTTCTGCTTCTTTCTGTTGCTCCTCTTCTTCTTGATATTCCCATTTTGCATATTTGGTACCCTTACATTGACACACATTTCTCTGAGGCTCTGTTTATTTTTCTCTCAGATATTTGGATTGCATAATCTCTCTACATCCTTTCTTCAAGTTCGCTGATTATCTTTTCTGCCAGTTCCAATCTGCTGTTGAGCCCTTCTAGTGAATTCTCCATATCGGTTATGGTACTTTTCAACTCCACTATTTCCATTGCTTCTTTTTTTTCATAATTTCTACCTCATTATTGATAATTCTCAACTTATAAGACATCGTCATTGTACTTTTCTTCTTTAAGCATGCTCGTAGGCAGTTTCTGTTGTTTGTCCTTTTTCCTGCTTGTTTTTCCACACCTTCCTGTTTCTTTGCATGTCTTGTCACATTTTGTTGAAAGCTGTACATTTCAGTTGTAACAACTCTGGATACCTATTCCCCACATCCTTCCTGGTGTTTGTTGTTTTTGTTGCCTGATTGTCTGTCTAGTGGCTTCACTGAACTGTTCAGTGAGGCCATTTCCCCAGCATTGTGACGCTACTGATTTCCCATCTCAGGGTGCAGCCTTAGTGGTTCACATCCCCCGAGAGGACAGTGCCTTAAGGAGGACTCTTTGACTATTCCTGTCCCTGCCTTCTGTTAAGCTGTCTGCCTGTTGATAGCTCCCCTAGCTATTAGGCTCCACTTATGGTGGACTGATTGCTGTGTTGTTTTTGACTATGCTTTGAGGCATAAAATTGCGCCAGAGTCTGATCCAGTTAAATTTGGGCCACTTGGCAGTATTTTTGTGAACAGTTTTTGAAGTTTGTTCTGACCCTGGGGGTGGGAGGACTGTTCTGAACTATTTTTCCCGTGGGTCTGGCTGGTTTGTGGTTTAGCTTGATGCTCTCCTGAAACTACCACCCTCCTTAATTACTCACCACCCACATTGCAGTTGTTTGAGCTTACCCTTGGGCTTGAACTTCCCCACATTCTGTTCCAAATAAAGTCACTTTTTTTTGAGGACAGCTTTAGAACTCTCTGTTTTATCTCGCTTTGGCATAACCTCTGAGCCACTTCCTGGAGTGAGGGGCAGGGACAATGTCAGCTTGCTCAGAGTGCCCCACACACACTTTTTTAGGCAGTAGCCTGCGGTCTTCTCAGCAGGGAACCTCTGCCCCAACAGGGAACCTGTGCTGGAGCCAGGCACTCAGGGCACCTGTGGTGGCGCCTCCACCCTGGCACATGCCGGGTGAAAGGAGGGAGCTGCCACCTCCTGACCTGCTCTCCTGGTGTTAGCCTCTGCAGCGCGGAGCTGGGAGGTGGCCGGGCAATGCCGGTGCTGCGCCTCGGTACCATAGCCCTGGGCTGGGCGCCGGGCACAGCACCCACCAGGACTGGAGCTTCCTCACCCCGAGCTGGCTGGGGCAAGCAGAGCACAGCTCAGGTGCCACACACCTGCTGTTCTTCCCAGGATTTAGTCGATTTTCTTGAGTAAATGTTTCTCCATTTGCCGTGTGCCCTCGGGTCGATTTCCAGAGACTTTAAATACTTGCTCGTTCTTCATTTTCACCAGTTACCATTGTTTTCCTGGGGATCAAGTCTGTGGTGCTCCTCCCTCTGGAAGCTGGCCCTGTCCCCGCTGCTTTCAAATACTATATTTAAATGTTTATTTCCCGAATCATCAACTTTAGAGATTATCTGTTGATTCGCTGGCATAAAAAGGAGGAAGTTAGTATCCATGTTCTTCCTTCGTTTTCTCTCTCTCCTTTGAGTCTCAGTTTGGGCCAGATATTTCACTTTTTCATGCCCAATCTTTAAAACAATTATATTCTATTCTGTAACTATAATTTTCATTTCTTTATAGTTGATGACATAAAGAAAAGGCTGATGATGAGCATTTATAGTGTAATGAATATGTGCTTATTTGTCACTGTGGAACCTAAGTCATCCTGAATATCTTGACTGTCTTTGAGGACACTAGTTAGAATTTTTTTTTTTTTTTTTAGTTTTTCTGCTCCTAGGATCACTTCTGTCCGGTCTGGACTCCGTGCCCTGCCTGTCCGTGCCGATGGTCTTCCCCAGAGGCCTGGAGGTCTCAGACGGCCACGCTATTCTTGGGGAGCACGGCATTCTGTTGCGGGGTGTGGGTGGTCGGGCGCTCGTCTCCAGTCCTGGGTCCGTCTCCCGCAGGTGTCTCCGTGCAGGGAGGGCTCGCTGGGGCTCTGCGGAAGGTGGTGGGAGCGTGACCGGCCCGCTGGGCAGGCCCCACCCCCGTCCTGCGTCTCTCCTGGGCTCGGTTGCTTTCCTCTGCCTCTCGGAGTTCTGCAGTGCGTCAAGCTCTTCCCCTTCTTCTAGCTCCTTCTCCTGTCCCGGGAGCCTGCCTTTTGCCTCTCGTTGCTGTCCTGGGCCTGGGGGGCCCTGTCTCAGTCCGAGGCCAGCGCCCCTGCCCCCTGCCCGAGAGGTGTGAGGTGGGGGTGCCTGGACATCTGAACCCCCAGTCCTCTGCCAGCCTCGGCAGCCGGCCTCCGGCCCTGCCCACCAAGCTGCTCGCTCTGGACTTGGGTGCCCGCTGGGTCCTCTCAGTGCTCCGAGTGGCTTTCCCTGCTCCTATTAATCTAACACCATCATCTTCCTATATTTTGAGGATCCCTCAAAATTACTGGTGCACAGGTGATGCCCTTTTTTGATACTCTTTTGATTTGCTGCTGCTTTAGAGAAGGCTCCGTCCTTCCGATTCGGTGGGGCCCTGAAGGGGCAGTGGACACATTTGCCTCCCACCTTCTTAAACTGAAAAGCGCAGTCGCCGCGTCTGCTCGCTTTCCACCCGCAGTGCGAGCTCTCAAGTGCCCGGAGCTGCGGCAGGCACACAGTAGGTGCTTCGCAGACGTGGAGTCACTGTCAGTGCGTGAAGCGAAGGGTCGGTGCGCTGAGATGCCCACAGAGAGTGCGGGCGGCCGGCGGCCCCGCCCCGTCACCTCCCGGGTCCCTGTGGGAGCAGCGAGGAGCGTGTGTCCCCTCGACAGACCCACCTGGGGCGGGTTCCCACGCCTGGCTCAGACTCCTTCGTCACGGTCTTCTGAACTTTGACGATAAATTGCTTTTATAGTTGTGGGGAATGGTTCCGTTAGGCTCTAAGCGAAATGTCAAGAGAAGTGTGTTTGTGTGGCTCACCGCGGCCCTTGTGCCTTGTTTCTCAGCGGTCTCCTTTGTCCCGGTGTCCAAGGTGAGCGGGCGGGCGGAGGCCGATGACATCCTCTCCGCTGTCCGCCCCGCCACCTGCCTCGTGACCGTCATGCTGGCCAACAACGAGACCGGCGTCGTCATGGTGAGCGGGCCTCCCTTCTGTCTAAGAAAGGCTCGTGGGCGGAAAGGCGGCTTAGACTCCGGTGGCATTTCGTGGTGCTCAGCTCGGGCCCTCCTTTTCCTCTGCTCTTCAACTTTGCGGGCGTTTGTCTGTGCCGGTTAACGGCCGCCTGTTTGTTTCGCGCGGCCTTCACCGAGTCTCGCCCCGTACTCAGCCGTTATCTTTCCCCGCCAGCCCATCCCTGAAATCAGCCGGCGCGTCGGAGCCCTGAACCAGAAGCGGGCCGCCGCGGGGCTGCCGCCCGTCCTCCTGCACACGGACGCCGCGCAGGCGCTGGGGAAAAGGCGCGTGGACGTGGAGGAGCTGGGCGTGGACTTCCTCACGATCGTGGGCCACAAGGTACGCCTGCAGGGGCCGTCCTCCCTCCTGGGGCAAAAGGTCTCCTCGACTGAAGGCCGCCGGAGAGCCCGCAGCGCCGGGGGCCGTGTGCCCGCGCAGGGAAGGGCTGGGGGCGCTGCAGGGAGCAGCTGCCGGACGGGAGGCGGCAGGGCTAGGCGGCCACTCCAGGGCCAGGACAGGGTTGCGGCAGGAGAGGGCGGCGGGCACAGCCGGGGCAGGCGTGGAAGTCTGTGGCGCGAAGACAGGCGGGGGTGAGCCAGCTACCGCGTGTTCTGTGCAGCAGGCAGAGCCTGTGCGGAGGCTGCGTCGGCCACACGTAGTGCCCCCGGGGCAGAAGATGTGGGGTTCAAGCAATTGCTCACTCGAACTTGATTTAAAAGGTGCCTCCGGACAGGGGCGGTGGCTCACGCCTATAATCCCAGCACTTTAGGAGGCCGAGACGGAAGGATTGCTTGAGCCCAGGAGTTCCAGACCAGCCTGGGCAACATAGCGAGACCCCATCTTTACAGAAAAACAAAAAAGTTAGCCGGGCATGGTGGCGCACGCCTGTAGTCCCAGCTACTCGGGAGGCTGAGGCAGGAGGATCACTTGAGCCCCGGAGTTTGAGGTTGCAGTGAGCTATGGTGATGCCACTGCACTCCAGCCCGGGTGACAGAGCCGAGACCCTGTCTCAACAACAACAAAATACGGCTCCTCGTCGTAAATTTAGTGGCTGTATCTTTCAGATGCAGCGTGGGAAAGAGCTAATAGTGAGGACCCTTCTGAAGCTTTCGCTCTTCTTTCTGGCAGCCAGCCAGGACCTGAAATATTTGTAGTACGCTGTTTTGGAGCACAGTCCTCAGCTAGTTCCCAACGAGTGTGCGCGGGCCTGACACCGGGGCACCTAAACGTTCTGCATCATATCATTTGGGGACATGGAATCATATGCAGGGAAAGCCCTTGGCAATCTCTGGTTCCAGCTTCTCTCCCTTACAAATTTTGTCATGATTGCCCGGAGCTCTGCCCGCCACGGAACTGTCCGGCAGCTGCCCTGCCTGTTAGGTCGGGGTTCTGCCCTTCCTCCGAGGCGTCGGTGACTCCGGCACGTCAAAGCAGTGGCGGGCGGCGCGGTGGGGGCCACGGGGCAGCACAGCGCTGCGCGTCTCGGGCTGTTCCTTCCCTGCGCCTCTAAGCGCTTAGCACGGACACAGGATAGGTCTTTGGAAAGTTCTTGAATAAGCCGCTGACTTTCCCTTCCAGTTCTATGGCCCCAGGATCGGTGCGCTTTACGTCCGCGGGCTCGGCGAGCTCACCCCTCTGTACCCTATGCTGTTTGGAGGCGGACAGGAGCGGAATTTCAGGCCAGGGTAAGGTGGAAAGTTGACAGTCTCGCACCTGCTGGCCGTGCCATCTGTCTGTAGCACAGCAACATTTCAAAGCGGCATTTTGCTGTTTCCGCTGTCTCTTGGGAGGTCGGTAATGGCACCGTCCGCACGCTGCCAGGCTCGGACTCGGCCGTGCAGCTGGTTTCTGCACTGAGGACTCGCGAGGGCTGCGGCCTCTTTGGGGCGATTCGAAGCAGTGAAGGAAATCCGTTTCCTTTAACTGCTTCAAACCACTGAATTGCCCTGGGCCTGTCCTGGCCAAGGGCGCTGCTGTTTCCTGACCGTGGGGTCGGCCGGCCGTGTAGACACTCCTTCCTCTTAGCTCCTGGGCCCCGTTACGTACAGGGAGGTGTTAACCAGGGAATCAGTTGGTGCCAGCACCAGGCTTTAGTGTCAGAAATCTCATAACGAGGGAGAACCGGAACAACATGGTGGTAAGCTCCCTGGGTTTTCTTTTCACCTCACGTATCCACCCTCGGAGCTGAGGAAGCCAGCAACCCCAAACACCAGTGAGAGCACACGCACAAAGAAAGTGCCCCAACCGACGCCTGTTCTCTCTGGCCAGTGGCCAGGCCAGGGCAGCCTGGCCAGGCGGAAAGCTCACGGACAGCACCGCTTTCCTCCAGCCCGTCCCTGCAGGGCGGGGCTGCCGCCCCAACACGCCAGCGGAGGTCAGGCAGGACCCCAGGCTCCCCCACACGGGCTGTGACGGGGCGTCCCCCCCAGCCAGTCGTGGGGCAGCCCCACCCTGCTGTGGGCCACACGGGATCCCGGCTGCCACCCAGACACGCCAGCAGAGGTCAGGCAGGACCCCAGGCTCCCCCATTCAGGCTGTGACGGGGCGTCCCCCCCAGCCAGTCGTGGGGCAGCCCCACCCTGCTGCGGGCCACACGGGATCCCGGCTGCTGCCCGCACCGTCGGTGACAGGGAGCCTCCCTCTGGGCGTCGGCCAGCACAGGGGCGCGAGGACCTTGGAGCCCGCTTCCACTTGGCAACGACGAAGCCACGGCTCCTCCTCCAGCCAGCAGAAGCGGGAAGGTTAAGTGAGGTCCGGCCGGACTCGGCCAATACAGAAATGTCCAGGATTCACGTGAAAATCGTCCGTCATACCGAGAACTAGAGAGATCTCAAATCGAGCGAGAACAGACAGTAAAGGCCTGCACTGAGGAGGCAAGGAGGTCAGGGTCACTGACGCACAAGAGCTTCCTTCCTCGGGGAGCTACAAGCACACTTGAAACGAGCGGAGTAGAAAGTGTCAGCCGGGAGGAAAGACGGGAAGAAGAGCGGCACGGAAATCCCAGCACCGAAACCCACGGCAGCCAGAGCAACCGCGAGGCGGGTGGCTCGGCCGCGGGACAGAGGGACGACGGCAAGCACCAGAGCCCTGGAAGGGGGCACGGGAGACGGGAAACAGGCGGGGTCAGAGTGGGCAGAGCTCGAGGCCCCGTGCCACTGTGACAAATGGTGTGACGTCCGTGTCCTCAAGTCCTCGAGGGAGAGGAGGAAGAACAGAGTCACGAACCTGCGGTCGGGAAGCAAGTGGAGTGAACCCCAAGCAGTCCAGGCCGGACGTGCAGTCAGACTTCTAACAGTGAAAGACAGAAGGATCTTGAAAGAGAAAAATGACACCTTTACCGACAGGGAGAAACAGTGTGAATGACAGTGGATTTCTCACCAGAAACCACGAAGACCAGCAGATAGTGAGTGGCACGAAAGTTTTCAAGTGCTCCGAGAAAACTGTCCGGCCCGAATCCTGCCCCAGCAAAGATACCCTTCAGGAACGAGGGGAAATCAAGACCTTCTCAGATGGAAAACTGAGAGAATCTGTCACTAAATACACTAAATACACGAGGGTTTCCTTCTCCTTAGTTTTCTAACTGTGTTTGATGGCATGAGCAAAACTCACAGCCATGTCTAATGTGGTTCTAAATGTACATAAAGGAAATATTTAAGACAGTTACTGGAGGACAAAGGTAACGGAACAGCAAAGAGACAAGGTGTCTACACTTCACTCAAACTGGTAAAACACAATACCAGTAGGCTGAAAAGTTTTATAGATATCTATAAGGTATTAATAATACCTAGACTCTAGGTCCTAGAGCAACCACTAAAAAATTATACAAAGAGATAAAGAGAAAGACTCAAAAACATTATGCATATATCAAAATCAAATGAAAATGAAAAATTCTGAAAAATGTTCAGTAATGTTCACATTCTGAAAAAATGTTCAGTAACCCACAGAAAGACATGAAAAAGAAAACAGAATCAAAAAACAGAATGAGGCCAGGCGTGGTGGCTCACGCCTGTAATCATAGCACTCTGGGAGGCCGAGGCAGGAAGATCACTTGAGCTCAGGCTTTCGAGACCAGCTTGAGCAAGAGCAAGACCCCGTCTCTACTAAAAATAGATAAAATTAGCCAGTCAACTAAAAATAGAAACAAAAAATTAGCTGGGCATGGTGGCGCATGCCTGTAGTCCCAGCTACTCGGGAGGCTGAGGCAGGAGGATCACCTAATCCCAGAAGTCTGAGGCTGCTGTGAGCTAGGCTGACACCATGGCACTCTAGCCCGGGCGACAGAGCGAGACTCTGTCTCAAAAAAAAACCAAACAAAAACAAACAAACAGAACAGAACAAATAGGAAACAATAACAAAATAAAACCCAACGGCGGCTTCAGTCCTATCCCATTGTCACGCTGTTGGCCAGAGGGAACGGCCTTGGGGACTCCTCAGACTCCCCGGTTTGGCAGTGGGGACCAAAGCGAGGCGTGCCCTGGCCCCTGCAGCAGGGGGGCTTCCTTTGGGTAGAGAAAGGGTCCGGATAGTAGTTTCCCCTGGACACCCAACACGTGTTGTCCACGTGGGCCACGCTGGCCACCGTCACTGGCCGGGACAGGTCAGACTTTGCGTGGGAGGCGTCTGGGGGCTGCGGCTGCCATCGTGGCAGCCATGTGGCACGTGCTTGGGAAAAAAGCTGGTGCGAGTCTGTCTTTATTTAACACAGTGACTTTCATGTGGCCAGGGTTCCCCCTTCAGCATTTGTTCACTCTCGTCCCCTCGTCTCTTGCAGGACAGAGAACACTCCGATGATTGCCGGCCTTGGGAAGGTGAGCCCTGGCGGCCTTGAGCAGATGAGCCAGTTGCCTTGTCCTCAGTTTCCCCAGCGGCTCGCATAGGAGCCCAGGGCTTTGGGGAGGTTGCAGGCACGATTCCGTAAATGGGCTGGCAAGGAAAAGCCTGGGATTTTGTGGAGAGCTGTGCTTGTCAGATCTGCAGGGCAGGCTGCGCTGCTCAGCTTTTGAATGTAAGGAACGCAGCCACGTCGGCACGGCAGAGGTGGGACGCCAGGCCTCGGGGCTGCGCACTCCCCACTGGCGCTGGAGCCCCCGCACCACTGGCGCTCAGCCCCGAACGGCCTGTGGTGCGCGGGCCTCGTGGTCGGGTGCGGCCCTGGGGCAGTGGGCTACTGTCCCACTACTCATGGGACAGTAGCCAGGCTCTGTGAGAGAGGCGGGTGCAGTGACACCTGAGAGCCTGCCGCTGTCCTCGCTGCACACGGCCCTGCTGCAAGGCCGCTTCTTCCGAGCAGCCCTCTGCGAGCTGTAGCTACGGCAGCCCCTCCGTGACCCCTCACTGCCACTCTGCACCCTGACCCCGCTCTTCTGCCCCCGATCTGATGTTTTGTCCATGCTCTACGTGTGCATGTCCCCTGCTTCCCCTCTCAAGCAGGCTCATCAGCTCCACGAGCAGGGCCTTGGCCTCGTGTGCCTCAGTATCCCCAGCACAGAAGAAAGGGCTTAGCGCGTAGCAGGCCCCTGGGGAGAGTCTGAATGGACTCAGCGTTTCTCAGGACATTCAAACTTACACTCAACTGAGCACAGTGGCACTTAAACCTGGCGCTGAGGCGACCTAGGCAGCGTTTGTGTTCCAGCGCCCTCGGCTGTCTGTAGGGGGCACAGCCCAAGCCTGGAGGCGCTAGCAGGCCCCCACTCCACACACTGTGGGCGGGGCCGCCCCGCGCTCGGGCTCTCCCTTCCCAAGTCCCGGAAAGGCCCTTGGTCCCCCTTGTCCTGGCCCCTGCGTCTCGGGCAGCGCCAGTCCATCTCCAGAATATGTCCTGGACCTTCCTCTCGTCCGTCCTCGTGGCCACCAACCTTAGCCCAGGGTGCGGTCGCTGCCATCGTCCACGCGGCCCCGCGTGACAGTAGACGTGTGGGTCAGGTCATCATGTCCCTCCTCCAGACCCGCTGCACTCGCCTTCCGATCCAGCCGTCCCCTCGCCCCTCGTGTGTGCTCCCTCCACCACGCCAGGCCCTCTGTTCCCCACACGGCTGGCTGTCCCCCTGCAGGGCTGTTGCTGGAATGTTCTCCACGCCCTGGAGCAGCCCTCTCTGTCGGTCCCGTCCCAGCACCGGCCGGTCGGTAGGAGTCCGTCCACCTCTGCCCTTGACTTTGTCCCCTCTCCTCCGGGACATGGGCTCTCGAGGGTGGGCCCCAGGCCCCACCTGCTGTGGTGTTTCCCGCGCCTGGAGCCGCGGGAAGGTGCCCGAAGGCTGCGGGCAGCACCTCTCACAGGACGCCAGAAAGTGCTGTTGGTGGTGCCCAAGGGCGCCAAGGCCTGTCAGGAGACGCCGCCTGTCCTGGTGCAAGCTGTCTCGCCGTCCGCCGCCTGTCAGCGGTTGGATGCGCTCCCACACGTTGTCACGTGTCTGTCCCCAGGCCGCTGAGCTGGTGACCCGGCACTGTGAGGCTTACGAGGCCCACATGAGGGACGTCCGGGACTACCTGGAGGAGAGGCTGGAGGTGAGCGCGGGGGGCCCGGGCTGTGCCGGCGCCGGGGAGCTGGCCGGCGCTCGCAGGGTCACGAGGCAGGAGGGCGGAACCAGGGAGAGGAGTGCGGTGGGGCGGAAAGCCCCGGAGAGGGGCCCTGGACCGAGAGGGTCTCTTCACAGACACAGACGAAGATGCACCGGGCGAGTGCCGGGCGGCTGTGTGCAGACCGCACGGCCTGACTCGCTTCACCGTCCGTAGTCCCCAACTCCTACAGGTGGATGCTACGATAAGACGAATATCTGCGAGTTGAGGTTTTGTTTCCCAGGGGAGTGTGAAGTTCACACGGTTGCTGGTGGTGGGGGGGTCTTCGCAGCCGTCCCCAGATGTCCCGTTTATTTTTCAGGCTGCGTTTGGTAAGAGGATCCATCTCAACAGCCGGTTCCCAGGGGCGGAGCGGCTCCCCAACACCTGCAACTTCTCCATCCGCGGCCCCCAGCTCCAAGGTGACCGCCGCCTCCTGCTGGTCTCTGGCGTGTGCGCGGTCCCGCGCCGTGTGGGCCGGTTCCCGCCAGCCGCCTTCCCTCCCGCGCTTGCCCCAGAGCGTGATGCAGCAGCGCCTTGCCGGGGCCCCCCGCCACCCAGCCCCGTGCCAAGAGCAGAGCGGCCGCCACGCTGCGGGCTCCCGCCAGCACCTCCTCCCCGCCCGGCCCCTCTCGCCAGGTGGACAGTGCTCGGTCTCCTGCGAGACGCTGGCACCCACCGAGAGCCGTCCGGGCAGGAAATGGCACTAACCAGGTTTCAGGCCGGCTTGTCCATTTCTGTTAGCTGTTTCTATAAAATACTTTAGGACAGTAAGGAAAATAGAGGCAATCAGCTTTAGAAAGTGAGCCTCGTCTGCAGATGGGGCTTGCCTTCTTAGAGGGGCGCTGCCTCATTCACCTTCTTGGGTCGGCAGAGAAACCTGGCGGTCGTGCGGCCCGCGGGGTCACGGCTGCGGCGGTGAGAGCGTGCGGGGGCCGTCCACCGCCCTGCCTCCCTGCGCGGAAGGGAAGCTCCTCCACCGTCTCCCCCTTTTTCTGGGCACGGACCTTACGTTCAGTGATGACCCATGTTAGTGTAAACCAGCGCGAGTCTCGTCCTCGTTGGTTTAAAGATGTTTAACCTCCGTGCTTGTGAAGGAAAAGGAAAGTGCCTTCTGGCTTAGGAAGAACGGCCCGGTGTCTCTGCCTGGAAATCTCAGGTCAGAGTCACCTGTCGCCAGAGCCACAGCCGTCCGGCAGGGCCGCGGCGTGCAGGCATCGCGCGAGCCTGGGGCTGGACGCGCCCTGCTTTGGGCCGGCTCTGTGAGGCGGGTAGCGTCTGCGTTCTGCAGCCCCAGGGGGAGGAGAGAGGAAGCGTTCCCTCTGGGCCCTGGCTTGAGTTCTCCCTCGCGCTAGCCGGTGGCACAGCGGGGACAGGGGCCTGTGCGGCTCAGGAGGAACAAGGAAGGGAGAGCGTGCGGGCCCGGCAGAGCCCTGCGGCTCAGCGGCGTGTCTCTCTCTGCAGGCCGTGTGGTGCTCGCGCAGTGCCGGACGCTGCTGGCCAGTGTGGGGGCCGCTTGCCACTCGGACCACGGGGACCAGTGAGTGCTCTCCACAGACCCGGGCCAGGGCGTGCTGGCCTGCGGGCACCGGGTGTGGCGGGCGGGCCACGGGGTGGGGCTGCTGGGCTGGGCCTCCGCGAAGCTGTGGACAGCGCCAGGCCAGGCCCCCTGTCGGGCTGGAAGGAGCCCCCGCCCGCCGCCCCTCGGTCGCGGCTGACGCCGGTTCTCCCCGCTCCAGGCCATCCCCGGTGCTGCTGAGCTGTGGCGTCCCGTTCGACGTGGCCAGGAACGCGCTCCGGCTCAGCGTGGGCCGCAGCACCAGCCGGGCGGAGGTGGACCTTGTTGTGCAGGACCTGCGGCAGGTGGTGGCCCGGCTGGAGGGCCAGGCCCAGTGTGGGGGCCACCCTTCCTCATAGGAAGCCCGCTGCCGCCAGGCACCGGGCGCTTTGCCTTCCATCCCTCCCTGGGCTGTGCCAGGATGACGTCTTATTCTCCAAAGTGCGGGTGCGGTGCGTGTGCCTTGGGCTTCTGCCCGGGACACCAGCGCCCGCCTAGGGCCACCCCCGGCCGCAGCTGCCCCGTGGGGACACTGAAATGGAAACGCTTCAGCCCGTCCACACCGCCCCCTGGGAAGTGGGCCAGCCTGCCGTGGGCTTCCCTTCCCGGAAGGTGGTGTTTTTATCTGGGAGATAAAATGCAAGTATTTATAATTCATTTTCAGCCAATCGCAATCATGGAAATAGGAAACGTTTTGCTTCGATCACGGCCCCCTCAGGGCCCTCCCCCAGCCCTCATCAAATGCCCTCCATCAGCCCTGCCCTTCCAGCCCAGCGTGCAGTGACCCCAGCCAGCTGTGGCCCCTCAGCCAGGCCACTCTGCCTCCCCCTGTCCCAGTGTGTCACTCGGCGTGAGCCCGTGTGCTCCTCTGCGGGGCCGAGGGCCTCCTCCCGCCTGAGCGCTCGCGTGGCTCGGCCCCCACAGAGTCCGGGGTGGCCGGTGCTTGTGTGACCTGGGTCGTTCCTGGGGGAGAAGATGGGATTGTCCCCGGCCCGGCTCCCTCCTAACTGCATTTGCAAAGGGCCCTTTTACCCCCCACGAGATGCTCCCAGTGTCCGGGCGCGCACCACGGGCTGAGATGCATAGGAGAGATTCAGCGCACGAGCCCACGGGGGTACAGAGAACTACACGGTGCTCAGGAAACGGCTGTCAGAAATGAAATGAAATGAATTAAAGATCTCAGGCCCTGGCGTGGCGTCTCTGTCTCTCTGTGGTGCCAGGGTCCCGCCCGGCGCAGGGCTGGGGTGCGCCTGGCCCGCTGCAGCGCTGGGTGTCGGTGCCTTAGCACGGGGTCGAGCTCGAGTCACATCTCTGGGAGCCCCTAGAAAACGGGTCCCCAGTCTGCAGCTTCCTGCAGAGGAAGAGCTTCCTGCCGTGGTGGCCCCGAGTCCCCAGCAGAGACTCTGCGGCATCCAGACCCCTGGGAACGACCTGGAGAGGAGCTCGCAGCTGGGAAATGCGTTTGGGACTTTTGGCCGCAGCACGAGACTGGGTCGCTGGGCTGGAGAGTGGCCGAGGCTGGAGCTGCGGGACCCTCGTCCTCACGCTGGAGCCTTCGCGCCGGCACAGCTGGGCTCTCCCAGGGTCGGGCCTGTGCCCACCGCAGGCCCCACCGGGCCACCAGCTTCCCCGGAGGTTCACAGGAGCCTCCAGGGCCAAGGGCCACCGGAGGGCCGGGTTCCGGGCACGGATGGCCCAGGGGCCGTCTGCTGTCTGGTGGGCACGTAGCCCAAACATGGCGACCCTGGTGTGGTGCTCTTTCCAAACACGGCGGGGCTGGCCTGTGGGACGGAGGGAGCAGTCTCCCAGGGACCCGTCCCCCCGGGGCTCAGTGACGAATGACGGCACCCATCCTTGCCCTCCGCAGGTGAGTGGCGGTCCCTCTGCTGACCGGCGCCCACCGCTGGCTGACCCCTCGCAGGCCCTGCGACCTGCACCCCGCCCCCGCTGCCCGGCTGGGCCCTTCCGCTGTGGGAGTGGCTTGGGCAGGGCTGCGAGGGCGTCCCCAAGGCCTCAGCCTGCCGCCTCCCATCTGCCCTGCGTGCTGCTTATCAGGTAACCGGAGCCGCAGCCTCGTCCACGCCTGAAACGGGAGGCCCGGCCTGCGCACGAGCCGCCAGAGTGGCCGGAGGATGGATGCGCAGCGGGCGCTCGCGGCCGCCAAGGCCGGGGACGTGGCCACCCTGGAGCAGCTGCTGGAGGCCGGCGTCCTGGGCCCGGGCATCACTGATGCCCTGGGGGCTGGCCTGGTGCACCACGCCGCTCGGGCCGGCCACCTGGACTGCGTCAGGTTCCTGGTGCAGCGGGCCAGGCTGCCCGGCAACCAGCGGGCCCACAACGGGGCCACTCCGGCGCACGATGCCGCCGCCACAGGCAGCCTGGCCGAGCTGTGCTGGCTCGTCCGCGACGGGGGCTGCGGCCTGCAGGTGAGCATGGACGGGGACAGCCGGCCGCCCGTCCCCGTGAACCGGCGGGGCTGTCGCTAGGGAGGCCCGGAGGCCCTGGGCTCCCCGTTTCTCTCAGGGCTGGGTCAGTGGCTCCTGTCTCTGCCCCACACCCCTCCCACCCCCCAAACAACACCAAGCCCCTGGGTGCCAAGGCCACCTCCTGAGCCCCCTGTCCCCCAGCCCCGTGCCAGGCGGAGAGCACGTTTGCCCTTTGTCCCGCCTCCCAGGAGTGCGGGCGCTGCCAGAGGTCTTGCCAGCGTGCGGGCCCGGTCTCCCGCAGGGGCTAGAAGGGGGCGGTGGAGGGTGCGGTGGAGCCTCGGCCCGGAGCTGGGGGCCCGGCGGTGGTAGCGGTGGGGAGAGCCTTCCAAGCTGCGTGAACACGGTGTCTCGGGTCTCCGTGACCGTCCCGTCCGGGGCATGTCTCCCAGGGCCCTCCTTCCCGCCTCCCGGCCTGCCCAGCTCCCCGTGCAGCCCCCCGTGCAGCCCCCCCTGTGCAGGGGCCTCAGTGCCGGGGCTCAGCCCTGCTGAGCTCTTGGGGGACGGCGAGCAGGCCGAGAGGCCTCAGAGTGCCGCCTGAGGTCACGGTTGGGGTGGGGGCTGCTGGGTCGGCCTCCCCAGCACCTGGCCCTCAGCGCACGGGCACACCGGCCGTGGCTCCCTGTCCTGTTTTGTTCTGACAACCCCGAGGGCTGCAGGCGGGCGCTGTGCCATGTCTGGACTGGCTTCTGATCACGGGGCACTTGGAGGATGCCAGGGCGCCGTGCCGCCAGGGTGGGAGTGCACCCTGGCTCCAGGCCCCGTGGCTGGAGGGAGGCACTTGTGGGGGCAGGGCAGCGGCCCAGAGGCAGGTGCCCCGGACACCTGTCCCAGGCACTGCAGGCAAGCGGCAGCTTCTCTGCCCTCCGTCCGCAGCATGGGCAGAGCCTGCGGGCCGCTGTGCAGGGAGGGCCGTCCCGCACCACCTGGATGTGGTCCTGGCCCTGCCTCCCGCCCTGAGCAGGTGGCCTCACTCCGTGCCGGCAGGGGGAGGAGGGGACCGGAAGCCCCACGTCGGGGCTGCGGGCCGTGTAGGGTCCTCGCAGGGCCCAGCCCGGGGCGGCTGGCTCAGGCCACGCAGCGCTGCCCCGTGCAGGGTGGGTCACGCCTGCCACCAGCCCTCTGTCCTGCCTGTGACCCTGCAGGACCAAGATGCCTCGGGCGTGTCCCCGCTGCACCTGGCCGCCCGCTTCGGGCACCCTGTGCTGGTGGAGTGGCTGCTCCACGAGGGCCACTCGGCCACGCTGGAGACCCGGGAGGGCGCCTTGCCGCTGCACCACGCCGCCGTCAGTGGGGACCTGACCTGCCTGAAGCTGCTGGCGGCCGCCCACAGCAGGTGAGCAGCCCAGAGCCCCAGCTGGGGCACGCCGGCCTCGGGGGAGGCGGCACGGGCAGGTGGCCTTCGGGGTCAGCTCCGGGGACGGGCTCCGTGGGCGGGTCTGGAGCAAGAGTGAGGCAGGAGGGCCACCCGCCGTGGCAGTGGGGGCGGCTGGGCGCTGCTGTGGGGCTAGAGCTCCTGGCCCCGCAAGGGCATCTCAGGGCCTGAATTAGCTGGGAGGGGACAGCGGTGACAGCCACGGGCACCCTCACGCCGCCTGACAGGAGCGGGGTGCTTGGTGGACGTAGCCCTCCGCACGGCCCACGCAGGCCAGCGGACTTCCCTTCCCCCCAGACCCTCCTCTGTTCCTTGTCCCGCGCAAAGGGTCATCGTTGTCATAGTAACACCCGGCCTTTCGCCTCCTCACCGTGGTGTGCCCAGGGCTGCTGTCCTGGCCCGGGGTGGACCTTCCCGTCCACCTGCCGCCTTTCTCGCCGGGGTAGGGGGGACCCGCCTGCCTCTGACCACAGCTGTCCTCTTCGAGGGATGTCTGGCTGCCCCGGCGGCCCCACGTCTGTCTGGGGACGAGCCCTGCAGCTCACTGGGGAAGTGTCCGTGCTCCCAGGTGCCCCGCTCTGCACCGCGAGGAAGAGGCCTCCGGGCGCACTGCCGCTGCGGCCCCAAGTGGCTGTCTCGCCTCGCAGCTCTTAAAGTAGCTTCCGCCAGGGAAAACCAGGCTGCGCCACATCAGCACACACTCATGCCGCACGCGTGGGAGGGGCCTGTGCCCCAGGCCCGCGTTCCCCACGCCGGCACCGACTCGGGAGCCAAGCGGCGGCTGCCCCCGGACAGGGCGAGCGGGCGCCAGCGGCCGCGTGCTGGACGCTGCCGTCCTAGCCCTGGTTCCAGTCAAGGCCCCGGCAGAGTCTGCTGGACGCAGCGCGGACACCGCCCTGAGCAGCACCGGGGCCACGCTCAGCCCTCTGGGCGCGTTCCATGAGGGAGTCACCCTCGGGCTCTGCAGGGCAGAGCAGGCGCGTGGCGGGCCCAAGGCCAGGGGCTGCCTGCCAGGGCCCTGAGCCCCCTGCGGGGGCAGAAGGAGCGGGCTCGTCCTGGCAGGCTCCATGGGGCACAGGGGTTCAAACCCGGGCACAGCCCTTGGGCAAATCATGCAGCTCAGCCTGTTTCCCTTCTGCCGGCTGAGGCCTGTGGCCCGGTCTGCACTGCCGAGCAGCCAAGCTGCTCCTGGGAGCGCCGAGGATTTGGAACCCAACATTGTGACCCTCCCTGGTCTAAAACGATGGATGTTTGCAACCTGGACCCAGGAGTCCCAAGGAGAGAAAAGAGGGAAAGGAGGCCGCGGGCACAGTCACTGGGCCCCAGCCAGCGTGGGGGACCCCAGGGCAGCAGCTGGAAGGTGCCGGGGAGAACCAGTCCGCAATGGGCAGAGGGGGCGGCAGGGGTGAAGTTGCATCATCCGGGATGGGCTCATCCTTGGGCAAGGGACCGGCCCTCCCTGCAGCCGGTCGCTAGGCAACAAGGACACACCTGGGCCCAACACAACCTGAGGGCAGAGAGGGATGCAGGAAATCCCCAAATGCTGCTCCAGCCCTTCCTTGCTGGGGACTGGAATTTGGGTGCCTGCGGCTCCTGTCCTGCTCATAACAGCCCCTTTTTAAGAACAGGGCCCCGGGGCTGGGCAAGGTTCAGGGACCTGTGGGCCTCACTGTGCTAGGCAACCCTAAAATGCCCATGAGCCCCAGCTTGATGGGAAGTGGGCGGAGCTGGATTCCCTTGAACAGTGCACAGCCTGTGCAACAGGGCAGGCAGGCACAAAGAGCATAGCCAGGTGCCCAGGCCACCCTTCCCCCCATCAGGGCCTTCACTGCAGCAGCCCAGACACCCATGCCCCCCTGGCCAAGTGCCCTCTGAACCCTCCTTCCCCTGCAGCGGCGTGAACCGGCGGACACGCAGCGGTGCCTCCCCACTCTACCTGGCCTGCCAGGAGGGCCACCTGCACCTGGCACAGTTCCTGGTGAAGGACTGCGGCGCCGACGTGCACCTGCGCGCCCTGGACGGCATGAGTGCCCTGCACGCCGCTGCCGCCCGGGGCCACTACTCGCTCGTCGTCTGGCTGGTAAGGGGCCCAGGAGTGGGGGGCCGTCCAGGGTCCGGGCCCCGGAGCCAGCCATGCCGCGCCTGGGCAGGAGCTCTCCTGGCAGCCGGGGACACTCAGGGCTGCCGGGACCTCCGATGTGCCGGCCCGGCCCCAGACTGCTGAGCGCCCGGGAGGCTGGGCCCCAAGCCTTGAGGCCTGTGCGCCCCTCTGCTCCGACAGTTCCTCCCTCCCCCAGGAGGCCCCGTGGGTCTCCCGGGCACTCTCGGAGCTGGTGACGCCGGGGCTGCTCTGTCGCCAGTGCCTGTGGCAGCAGAGCCTGGCCTGGGCCACTCAGCCACTTGCTCAGGCCCTGACGCCTCAGAGCCCTGGGCCTGTCCCCATCCCTCGTCCCTTCTGGGCCCTGGAGGGGCCACTCTGGCCTCTTTTGGGAAGGAGCCCCTGGGACCAGGGCACAGAGTGGCCGGGGTTGGAGAGATGCCTCCTTAAAGATGGGGGGACTTCCTGCCTCCACAACAGAGAACCAGAACAGGAGCTCTAAGGGTCTGTCACAGAGACCCAATGGAGCTGAAGAGTAGGGAGGTGGCCGGGCGCGGTGGCTCACGCCTGTAATCCCAGCACTCTGGGATGCCAAGGGAGGAGAATCACTTGAGGTCAGGAGTTCAAGACCAGCCTGAGCAAGAGCAAGACCCCGTCTCTACTAAAAATGGAAAAATTAGCTGGGTGTCGTGGTGAGCACCTGTAGTTCTAGCTACTCGGGAGGCTCTGGCAGGAGGATCACTTGAGCCCAGGAGTTTGAGGTTGCAGTGAGCTACGATGGTGCCACTGCACTCTAGCCTGGGTGCCAGAGCGAGACTCTGTCTCAAAAAAAAAAAAAGAGTAGGGAGGGTCTCCCTAAGAAGGGGACGCTGGGCAGAGCTGAGCATGGGCAGGAGGTGCTGGGCAAGGCTGGGGCCCAAAGCCAGTTCCCGGAGGAGGCCCCGCTTGTTCACAGGTGAGGAGAGCCTTCCCACGTGCTGTCCCCGAGCCTGGCATGCAGGTCCCCAGGTGGCAGCCGCCCGCCGGGCACCGTCCCCTCTCCTGCTCTCTTTCCCTCCACCGCAGCCAGCCCTGACAGGCCGCAGTGTGACTTCTTTGCCACATGGGGCCCATCTCCAACCCCGGGTGGGGCTTCCACACGCCCTGCCAGAGCGGGACTGTGGCCACCTGCCGCACTCCCCCTGCCGGGTGCGTCCAGGGCTCAGGAGACGCCCAGTGAGTGGACCAGCAGAGGAAGGAGCGAGGAGGGCCCCCCCGACCCCGGGACGGTGTCCAGCCACTCACCTTGGTCCCGAGGACGCGGCGTTTGCCTCCAGCCCCCTCTGTGGCACCCGGAGCCACCAGCACCTCCGCATATCAGCTCCGCCCGGGCCGCGCTGCCCACAACTCCCCTGCCGTGCTGCCCCGTGCACCTGGCCTGGGCCCCTGGGTGCCATAAGGGCCGGCGGCTGCACGGGGACAAGCGGCAGCAGCTCAGGGCAGGGGTCCCGGGGGGCAGGGAGTGGGGTGTCCACTGCCCCTCCGGCCATGCTGAGGTGTGAGCGTCCCTTTCTCCCCCAGAACGCAGGGCCCAGCCACCGGGCCCCTGGGCCAGAAAGTCCGTTTCAGACATGGAGCCCCTCCGCAGCCCCCAGCCTGGCACAGTCACTCCTGGGACGGGCACCCTGTCCCTGCCTGTGTCCCCAGCTCACTGTCCTGTCCCTGACAAACACGTGAGTGTGGATCTGTCAGGGCCCTCTGGGCGGCAGGCGGCAAGCAGACACACAGCCAGGGCTGCCCTGTCCACGCAGAAGGTGGCAGGGCTGCTGTCATCTCCCTTGTTCTCGTGGAGAAGGTTGGCCGCACCCAAGGCAGGGAGGAGAGAGAAGGGAGACACTGCATCCCAAGGCAGGGAGGAGGGAGACACTGCCTCCCTGGCTGCCTGCCCTGAGGGTGGAGTTTCCGGCAGAGCCCTGCGTCCCGCTGGCAGGGCGGGATTCAGTGAGTGGCGCAGGAGAGGCCCTGGGAGGCCCCGCCTGGAACCCAGGCGCCAGCAGAGGGGCGGCCTCAGGTCAGCCCAAACACCCAGCTCCCCTGTGGGCTCTCGGGGGGGGGGGAACCCCAGGACGCACCGCCCAGCAATGTCTGTGCACCCGTGCTGGGCGCAGGGCGCAAACGCCCAGGGAACGCAGCGCTGCCAGATGCCAGGTGGTGTCCTGTCCCTCTCTCCCCTCCTTTAGCAGCCAACATTTGTGTGTTGTCCCCGGTGCCAGGTGTGGCGTGTTTTCATTTGACGTGATGCTGGCTTAAGACTCGGGACTGTGGCATCTCCAGATAAAGCCACGGTGCTCACCGTGCCCCACGGCCCCCGTGCCCCACGGCCCGAGGTTACAGGGCGTGCGTGATGAGCCAGCTCTGTCGGGCTGCTGCTCCCAGGAGGCACAGCTCAGGCGGCCCCTGGGCTCCTCCCCACGCGACCGCCCAGCCCCCTCCGCTGGCCACTCTGTCTCCCTCCAGGTCACGTTCACCGACGTCGGCCTGACGGCGCGGGACAGCGAGGGCGCCACGGCCCTGCACTTCGCAGCCCGAGGAGGCCACACACCCATCCTCGACCGGCTCCTGCTGATGGGGGCCCCCATCCTGAGGGACGCCTGGGGCGGCACCCCCCTGCACGACGCGGCAGAGCACGGGCAGATGGAGGTAAGGGCGCACGGGCACTGACCTCACAGCGCCCCCAGGATAGGGCTGACGCTCCCTCTTACGGATGGACAAACCAAGGCTCAGGGGAGGTCACGTGGCAGGATCCATGACCAGTGCTCATCCTGCGAGCAGAGCAAGCCAGGGCGTGATGTTCATGGTTCACTGCAGCCTCAAACTCCCAGGCTCAGGTGATCCTCCTGCCTCAGCCTCCCAAGCAGCTGGGACTACAGGCACGAGCCACTGTTTTCTATTTTTCGTGGGTCTTGCTATGGTTGCTCTGGCTGGTCTCAAACTCCTGGGCTCAAGCGATCCTTCCACCTCAGCCCCCCAGAGTGCTGGGACTACAGGCGTGAGCCACCGAGCCCGGCACCCTTTGCTATTCTTTAAATGAATCTTGGGGCTCTCGTGGCACCCGGAAGCCCAGTGTGGGTGGGTGCTCACATGCTCTGCGCTGCCAGGTCCGGGCCCAGCCTTGGGGAATGGGCTGGGCCATAAGCTCTGGCCCCTGCACTGCCGCCCACCTGCCGCCATCTCTGCCGAGGGCCAGCCCACACCTCGGGGCGACACGTTTGCTTCTCCCCGACCCATCCGGCCTGCCGGTAGGGGTCAGCTCACCTCTGAGCACTCTCCCGGGTTCCCTTGCTGTTCCAAAGTGTTTTCTTCTTTTCCACTGTGCAGCCTGCTTCGCTGCCACAGATCCTGTGCGATCCCACTTACGTGAGGCGTCCAAAGCCGTCAGGCTCTGGCCCCACCCCCGCCCGCCCTTCCCATCTCTGTCGAGGGAGGGACAGAGACAGGGACAGAGACAGGTGTGAGCACAGAGGTCAGGCAATAGTTTGGGGCCAGAGTTTGACCACTCGTGTGTCTGACTTATTTTGTCAGCATAATGTCCTCACGGCTCACCCATGTTGTAGCAGGTGTCAGAGTTCCCCTCCTTTTTATGTTTAAATAATACTCCGTGCGCGTCTACACTGCATTTCCTTTCTCTGTCCGGGCATCTGTCAGTGCACGTTGGGTGCTTCCCCCTTCTGCCCATCGTGGATGCTGCTGCTCTGAGCCTGCTGTGTGAATCTCTCTGTGAGTCCTGCTCCCAGTTCATTTGGATGTCCACCCAGAGCAGAACGTCTGGGTCTGCACGGATTGCCTTTTCCATGTTAAGCCAACCTTGCATTCCTGGAATAAATTTAACATGGTATATTACTTCTTTTATATATATCTGAATCTAGTTTGCTAACACTTTGGGCTCTATATTCTTTTTTTTTTTTTTTTTTTTTGAGACAGAGTTTCGCTTTGTTGTCCAGGCTAGAGTGAGTGCCGTGGCGTCAGCCTAGCTCACAGCAACCTCAAACTCCTGGGCTCGAGCGATCCTCCTGCCTCAGCCTCCCGAGTAGCTGGGACTACAGGCATGTGCCACCATGCCCGGCTAATTTTTTATATATATATCAGTTGGCCAATTAATTTCTTTCTATTTATAGTAGAGACGGGGTCTCACTCTTGCTCAGGCTGGTTTCGAACTCCTGACCTTGAGCAATCCGCCCGCCTCGGCCTCCCAAGAGCTAGGATTACAGGCGTGAGCCACAGCGCCCAGCCTTGGGCTCTATATTCTTGAGTAAAATTGGCCTATAACGTACCTGTCTTGTTCTGTCTTTGTTGAATTTTGGTATCAAGGTATGCTATGAATTAGGGGGTGTTTCCTCATACTCTATTTTTTGGGACATTTTGGTTACAATTAGACTTATTTCTTCTTTCAGTGTTTGGCAGAATGCACTAGTGAAGCCCTCTGGATCTGCCATTCTCTTTGAGGGAAGGCTTTTAATCGCTAATTCAATTTATTTAATTATTGAACCAGTAGGGTTTCCTATTTTTTTTGTGAGAATTGGTTTTGGCAAATTGGCTGGTTGGAGACCTGAGAGCCACATTTCCGTGGCTTCTACATCTTCTTTCGGATTTAAAAATATCACCCCACTCTTCCCCTCTGCCATACTGGTCTGCGCTTTTAGGGGTTACCCTAAAATCACAACTTGAATCTTTAACTTCTCCAAACCTGAAGATAATCAGTTCTTTCTCTCTCTTCCCAGACAATACAAGATTCTTATAATAGTCTAAGTTGTAGGAATTGTATGCCATTTGGGGGGGGGGTAAATATATATTTTTAAGGTAAAATTCACATACCATGAAACTAACCATTTTAAAGTGTACACGTCAGTGGCATTGGGTTCATCCATTACATTGTGCAACCTCATCTCCATCTAGGTCCAAAACATTTTTGTTACCCCAGAAAGGAAGCCCTGTAACCACTAAGCAGGCACCCCCCTTTCTCACCTCCCCGCAGCCCCCGGCAGCCAATAATCTACTTTCCGCCTTTATGGATTTACCTAATCTGGTGTTTCCTATGAACGGCCTCCCGTAGTAGGTGGCCTCGTGTCCGCCTTTCACTCGGCGTACGTTTCATGGTTCATCGACCATGCAGCGTTGGGCAGGGCCTCACTCTTTTGAGGCTGAGTGATGTCCTCCGTATGGACAGACCACATCTGGTTCATTCTTTCATTCCTAGATGGGATCTGGATGGTTCCCTCCTTCTGGCTACTGTGACTAGCACTGCTATGGACGTTTGTTGCAGGTTGCTGTTTAAATGCCTGTTTTCAGTCCTGAGGGCGCATGCCCAGGGGGGCCTGCTGGGTCGCGGGGTCAGCTTCCCTCAGCAGCTGAGCCCCACCAGCAACGCACAGGGTTGCAATTTCTCTGTTTTTCCAATACTTTTTATATTGTGTTTATTATTTTTAGAGCCATCCTAATGAGTGTAACGTAGCACCTCATTTTGGTTTTGATTTGCTGGAATATGTTTATAGCATATTTTTTTTTTTTTTGAGACAGAGTCTCGCTCTGTTGCCCAGCTAGAGTGAGTGCCGTGGCATCAGTCTAGCTCATAGCATCCTCAAACTCCTGACCTCAAGCAATCCTCCTGCCTCAGCCCCCTGAGTAGCTGGGACTACAGGCACACGCCACCATGCCCGGCTAATTTTTGCTATATATTTATATTTTTTTAGTTGGTCAAGAAATTTCTTTCATTTTTAGTAGAGACGGTGTCTCGCTCTTGCTCAGGCTGGTTTCTAACTCCTGACCTTGAGCAATCCTCCTGCCTCGGCCTCCCGGAGTGCTAGGATTACAGGTGTGAGCCACCGCGCCCGGCCAAAGTGCATTGGAATATGTTTTTAATCACATCATTTATTTAGACAGGGGACCAGTAAAAACAATTTGCTCAAGATTCCACATACCCTGGGAGCCACCCGGGACGTCTCTGATGGCCAGTTAAGGGACTGGCTTCCCTTCCTGCCTTGAAACCAGCAGCTGCAGAGAAATTCGTGTTAGCAGCACGGATAGGAGTATCGTACGTACGCGGTCACATCTGAAGCATATCTCGTTAGGGGTGCAGAGTCCCGGGCCCCACCCCGGACCTCCTGGATCAGAACTTGCGCTTGTACGAGATCCCCGGGATCCTCGGGCACAATTTGGGGAACTTTCAGTGTGCATACCTGAGCTAATCTAGAAAGAGTTCCCAGAGAGGGGGATCTTGACGCCCAGCTTTGAATGTGGGGAGGGGCATTTGCGCTCATTTGCCGAGAAGGGGTCCATGCGCAGAAGGAAGGCCTCAAAGTCTGGAACCAGTTTAATGTTGTGTAAAAAGGAAATTGGAAGCCGTCGTAGGGTCACGAGAAGGGCGAACCGTTTCCGTTGCTCCTTGGAGAAGGGCTCCCAGTGGAGCCGGAGGCTGCTGCAGGACGGCGGGCTGTGGCCTGGGGCGTGGAGGGTAAGGTGGAAAAGGGAAGGGCAGCACAGACGAGGCTCCCTGGGGGTCAGATACGGGCTGTAAGCCACTGTAGTTCTCTACCAGCTGCCTGACCACCGCCTTCCTGCTGACGAGGGAGGGAGGCTTGCCGAGCCAGGCAGGCGGCAGTGAGCAGCGTCCCGAGCCCACGGCCCCCAGCACACGCGCGATGCCTAGAAAGGGGTCGGTCGCTGCCCAGCAATGCATGCCCACACTCCCCTTTGTTCGGACATTCGTCACGGACAGGTACCGACCCCTCGCTCAGGCTGTCACGGAGAGGATTCAAGAACCAGAGGGGCGTTTGGATCGGATCACTGGTTCTCAGCAGGGACAGCACCCTTTGTGGCAAGTTTTGGAAATTTGGGGGCTGCTTTTAATCGTTACGATGATTGAGGAGAGTGCCAGCTCATGGCGGAAGCCAGGAGTTGAGGCGACCTGCTCCACCAGGACACCACCCACCCACCTGCCCGGGAGGCTCCTGCTCCCCCAGCGCCAGGGGTGCTGCGTTCTCCCAGGGGCTGGAGTCAGGGCCCCCCACCCCCCTCTGGCCCCAGCTCTGTGCACGTCTGACCAATGGGCCTGCCTCCTCCGCCAAACCAGGAGCCTCTGGGACGATTCCTTGGTCCTGCCTCCCCGCAGCCCTCTGGGCCGGGGGTGGGCACACGCTGGGCCCACGAGCTAAAATAGTTCTCACCTTTTTAAATGGCTGGGGGAAAATACCCCAAAAGAATAACATCTCATGACACATGGTCCTCCCACCAGGCCACCCCTCCGCCTGTCTTTGACCGGCCTCTCTGGGAGGGTGGGGGCTAATCACACCTGTCACAGGTGAGGCGCCCTCGGTCCAGAGAGGAGAAGAGATTTCCATTGGGGTCTCACGACTTTTTAGTTCAATTCAGGGTAGCCCAGAGACGACGAGGCATACCTGGTCTGGGCTGGGAGCAGGTCTGAGCCGAAGGCTCACAGTGTGGGGGACAAAACGCCTGTCTAGCTCACGGGAGCGTCTGTGTTTCCGAGAACCGCAGGGAGGCACAGAAACGCTTACAGCATAAACATGCACAAAAGAAATCACAGAATGACTCTCGCAGGCCCCTCCTCTCCCACCTGAATCCTCACGGCCCCAGTGTCCGATAGCTTCCTGGTCTGTGGACCCTGCCCTCCCAGGCCCCCTGTCCCCATCACGAGAGCCAGGTGGGAGGGGGACAGGCGGTCCCGACCCCCAGGCTGGCCGGATGAGGAGTGCGGGCTGAGTGGCCGCGGTTGAGGCCCGAGCCGGCGCGGGGAGGGCCAGGGTGGAGCCTCCCGGAGCAGCCTGGGGCCCAGCTGAGGATCCCCGAGAGGGCTGGACCCGGCCCAGAACGGAGCTGGCTGTGGGGCCGTGGGTCGAGGGGCAAGGCAGGTGACTCAGTTTCTTCCCACATGCACCCCACACCTCCGAGTTGTGACAGTGGGAATCGGTTCTGCCTGTAAAGCCCCCGGCGTGGCAGTGCCGAGGGCCAGGCCGGGGACCCGTTGCCGACTGCCCCTGGCTCCGCTGCCGGCTCCCAGCCGTGCCCTCGGAGAGTCGGCCTCTGTGCGCCTCTGCCCGTCCTGCTGCCTCAGCATGGTTCGCGTGTGGCGGTCGGTGCCAGCCCCGCCAAGAACGGCCGGGGGCCGAAGCCCAAGGAGGCCGGGCAAGGCCCCGGGGCCCCAACGCCCCGAACAAAGCCCTGCCCCTGCGTGGCGGCGCCGGGGCAGCCTTGGGACGGGCTGGGCGAGCCTCTTGCACACGGCCGGCCCGGCCGGGGCCTGGTGAGCATCTCGGTGGGTCACATCTATGTCCCATCCCTGCAGTGCTGCCAGACCCTGGTCTCCCACCACGTGGACCCCTCCCTGCGGGACGAAGACGGTTACACGGCAGCGGACCTGGCGGAGTATCACGGACACCGGGACTGTGCCCAGTACCTGCGGGAGATGGCCAGGCCGGTGAGGCTCGGGGCCGTCTGTCCTGAAGGCATGGTGGGGTGGGGGGCTGCGGATCTGCAGCCAGTCAGCTGGAAAGCTCACGGTGTCCACCTCCCATGCCATGGCATTGCCAGGGGCCAGGGCCTGGGCAGGACTGGGCCGGCACCACAAGCCAGCCGCCGGCACTGAGGCCAGGTGTGATGGGGGCCGGCCAAGGCCGTGACAGGGGCCAGAACATGGGCAGGGGCTGGGAGAGGGACAGGGGCAGGGGCTGGGAGAGGGACAGGGGCAGGGGCTGGGAGAGGGACAGGGGCAGGGGCTGGGAGAGGGACGGGGGCAGGGGCAGTGAAAGGGTCCAGGACAGGGGCTGGGGTGAGGGCTATGGCCAGGACCAGGGCTGGGCTTGTGGCTGGAACTTGGTCAAGCCACGCCATGCGTCCGGGCTGCAGGAACCATCCTGTGATGTGGGAGCCTCCATGGCCAGGGTTCCTCTTGGGGGACACATGTCCGACCGAGGACCCCGGGTGGGAGCAGGGCCTGGGTCCTGGCAGAAGTGACCTGAGGCAGCCGCAGCCCCGCAGCTGCTGGAAGGCAGCAGGTCCAGTCCCGGCTCACCCTCAGCGTCTCCCCATCTTTGGAGCCTGTTTCCCGGCCCGTGAGGACAGGGACCTTGTCTGTCCCAAAGGTCCCAGGCCCCAGCACATGACAAGGCTCAGCAAATGTTTGTTGAGGGAACAGATTCGCAGGTGGGTGGACGGACGACAGGGCAGACAGATGGAGGGGAGGGTGGGGGGCGGGATGGACGGGGAGGGTGCGTAGGAGTGAAGGTGGGTGGGGTCGCCGCAGCACCCACAGTGGAGCCAGGCGCGTCCCCCAAGCACGCCTGCAGCCCCGCAGGATTCCGGGCCCAGGGCAGTTACTTGTGACAAATCTGTCCCAGCCTGCCTCAGCTTGGGCCACATTTGTTTTGGCGGCCGCCCCTGCAGGAAGGTGCCCTGGGATCAAGGGACCCCGTACCCAGTGAGGGCACAGGGCCCCACAGGCAGCGAGCCCCCCAACCCAGTCTCACCCAGGGGCTGCCGCGCCTCCTCTTCCTTGGGTGACCCCTCAGGGTGTCCGGGACCAACGGGCAAAGCTGTCGTCCTCCCAGCCCTGGGGCCTGCGGGCAGTCCTCCTGCTGCCACCTCCAAGAGCCTCGGCTGTCACCGACTGAAACCCACACCGATGCGGGCGCGGCCCGGGGGGACTCTGGGAGCTCGGCGGTGCCCTGGTTTGTCCCGGTGTAGCAGTTTCAGGAACTAGAATTCAGTTACTGCTCGAAGTCATTTATTTACTAAATTATTTACTTACTAAATGTTTGGTGGGTTGCTGCTTAGTGAGCGCCTGTCTTTCTGGCCTGGCCTTGGGGAGCTGGTGGAACGCGGCGGGTTCTGCGGTCGCAGGTGGAGTCGCCGTCCGTCCGCGGGCTCAGGAGCACCCAGGCCTGGCTGTCCCCGGCTCCCGCCAGTCACTGGGGTCGGCCTTGGCCTTCCTTGGCCTCCCCACCCCGGGTGGCAGCCGAGATCGGGAGGCGGGAAGGGTGGCCATGCGGCGTCCCTGCCCTGTCCCCACCCAGCCACGCTGGGCCCCACGGCCTGGCCTTTCTGTCCAGGCAGGTCTCTGCCTTCCAGCCCCAGACCCCGGGTGGGGCAGGACGGTAATGTCGGGCTCAGCCCCCTCCTTCCCTGCTGCCTCGGGGCCCCTGCCCGGCTCACACAGACCCAAACCCTGGCCTTCCAGGCTCTGGTGAGCAGCGTTGGCTGGCAGCCGCCTGGGGACTGAGGGTCAGCCCAGGGGCCCGTCTCTGCGCCTCCTCCCTCGGGCAGTGCCCAGTGACAGCAGGGGTGCTGGGCGCCCCCAGGCCACCCGCCTCACGTTCCAGGCACCCCCCCAGCGGGAGGGCCGGCTGTCAGCTGCCGGGGCCGGAGGAGGCTGCACGCCTGATGCAATATTGATGGAAAGGCAATACTCGGAGGTCGCCGCGCTGGCCTCTTCCCACGTCGCCCCGGGGAGGTGGTGAAATCCATCGTCCCCCTGGACGCCACAGCCTGTATCCGCCCCAGGGGACTCGCGGGCCCCAGGAGAGGCAGCTTGGGCACGAGGCTGGACAGGTAGTGCCGAGACCTGCCCACGGGAGGTGCCCCCCCCCCCGCACCCCCTCTGGGTGGGGCCGGTGAGCCTTGGGCGCACCCACCACCCAGGCCAGGCCCTGCCCCTCCCTGGGCCTTAACAGCCTGGGTGGGCAGGGGCTGGAGGGGCCGTCGAGGCAGGTCCCGGCTCTGGGGTTCTGCGTGAAGTTCTGTCTGGCAGCAGCGGTGGGAACGGCAGCCTGGGGCGGCGCACAGCCCTCCGTGGGCGCGGGGCCGAGCCCCCGGCTCTCCCGTGGCGTCCAGGGCTGTCCTGCTGGTGCTCACCCGGCAAGGCCGGGGCCTCTGTCCCGGGCTGTGGTGCTGGGAAGCGCTGTGCATCCCTGACCTCCAGTTTCCTCTTCCATAAAATCAGATTGAGGAGCCTTGTTTTCAGGGCAAAGGAGACATCCTCTCGACCCTATAGGGTCCTGCCCGTGCTGGGACCTTGGGACACACTACTTCTCCCCCCCACAAGGGCCAGAAGGGCCCTAGGACCCCTTCATTTTACAGATGGGGAAACTGAGGCCCAGGGAGGGCGGGGGACGCCCTGGGCAATCTCCGCCGTCGGGGAGCAGCGGGGCCCGGCCAGAGATCGAATCTCAGCCGTGGCCACTGGTGTCCAGCAGGCACCTGTGGGCCATGATTTTCTCGGCCCGGGTGGCATTACAGGCCTGTAACCCGGCTCGCCGCGGCGCCCCCGATGCATAATGCATGGCAGACACAGCCGCGCAGATCTCTCCAAAAACACGGGGAGAGACCGCGGGCTCTGGGCCAGCCTGGCTGCCAACCTTAGGGCCACTGTCCCTGGGGTTCAGGGCAGCTCATGCCCAACTGTTAGGACCCCAGAGGATGAGACCCGACCCCGGCTGCGCCTTTCGACCCCCTTGGGGTCACTGAGTGTTCCAGGCCTGGTGTGGGAGGCAAGGATGTGGCCACGCCCACTGCCTGGGGCACCGCAGCCAGACCTCCCGTCCCTGTTGCGGCTCAGCGAGAGCCTCAGAGCGCAGTGGTGACAGCAGCCACAGGGCACGCCGGGCCAGCCAGGTGCTCTCCGTCGCCTCACCTCCCAGCAGCTCTGATGTTCAGGCCAGGACGTGGAGGCTCAGGGGGACCTCCCAGGGCTTCATCTTCCAGGGCAGGTGTGAGGTCCCCCAGGCCGCAGGTGCTGCTGGGGGCCAGAGTCCCCTCCCCTGGGCCCAGCCCAGCTCCTGCCTTAGAATTCTGTCTGCCCCAGATGAGGGGCCACTGCCAGCCCAGCTGAGCCCCTTGCTCTGCCAGGCATGGGGCTTCTTGTCCCTCCGCCCAAGAGCAGGTTCAGTTGGAGGGAGGGGGCTGGGCTGCCAGGCAGGGTACAGGGTGGGGCATGGGGCGGCTGCTGTCCAGGGTGCTACCCCGGGACCTCAGCCCCTCTGTCTGTCCCACTGTTAGGGCCGGCTACTCTGGCCACGCCTGTGGGGTTTGACTCTGCCTTGCACAGGACTCCTGGCTCTGAGACAGGACTTCCTACAGCATAGCAGGGAGCACGCATGCACCATGTTTTGCGGGGGGCCCCCTGCCCCCCAAGTCCCAGGTGGTGTGATTTGGGTCCAGATGGCGGGTGCCAACAGCAGGCTTGTGTCTCAGCTGGGGACCACTGAACCCACTACCTCTGCTCTGCAGTGAGCAGGACGCAAGCCTGCTCGAGTCTCTGGGTCACCTCCTGCAAGCATGGCCCTGAGAAGTGGCCCGCTAGGGAGCAGCCATGCTCTGTGCCCCCGGGAAGGGGACCCCACACCTGCCGTCCTCCCCAGAGACCTGCCCCTGCCGGGGCCCCGGGGCTCTTGGTCCTGGCAGGAGCAAAGAGGGAGGTCTCCAGTGAGGTTCCCCCCAGCTCCGCTGCTCCCCCCCAGCTCCACTGCATCCCAGCACCGGGAACTTGAGAAAGCCCTTTGTGCTCTCTGAGCCTCAGTTTCCCCATCTGTGCCCTGAGGGCTATACTGCGGGTGAGGGTGGAGATTCCTCTGGATTCCTCTTCTCATGGCCCAGGGATCCTGGGTCCCCCTCCTTGTCCCCGGAGGGTCCCTCCCCAGCCCCCGTGGTAAGGGATCCACACCCAGCCTGTGCCTGCCCGGCCACCTGACACCTCAGCCTTCAAATATTCATGCGGCGCCTCCCACTCCTGGGGGCCGCAGCCCCGACAGCCCCCGACAGCCCGGGACGGCACAGCTCCTCCGAGTCCCTCCCGGGCTGGGAGCCGGGCGGACACTCCCCAAGCCACCGTGCGCCCAGGCCACCGGGTGTGGGCACAGATTCCTGGAAGGAGCCAGGTGCGTGGGGGCTGGGAAGACAGGCTTCCCGTGTGTTCCCGTCCCCGTGCCCGAGGGCTGAGGGGCGCACACAGCCTCCCGGCCGTGGAGGAGAGTGGGACGGACCCGTCTTCACCCTGAGCAAGGGGGCCAGGGCGGCCAAGGGTTTGCTGGGCAGGGCGGCGCCCCCTCCTGCAGGCCTGTGCAGGGGACGGTGGGGTCTCTTGTTCAGAAAGGGTTAGGAACTGCAGGCAGAGACCGCCGAGCGCAGGAGCAGCTGCAGCGGTGCCGGCCCTGGCCCCTGGCCATGCATCCCTCGGCCCAGGGCTCCTGCCGCGCCCACCTGGGCCCAGACGGCCACATCCAGCTCCCGACACCCACTGCAGGGAGGGGCGGGAGCTCGCGTCTGACGGCCAGGGTGGGGCCTCAGAGGGAACACCCTCCTGGCTGGGGACACGCGTGGGGACGGCCGTGCGCCAGATGGGCATGAGGCAGTGCGTGCACAGCCGGGGGCCCAGGCATGGCGTCGCGCAGACGCGGCCAGGCCAGCCTTCGACTCTCAGCCTAACCCCAAAGGCTAAGAGCTGCTGCGGGGGACAGCACGCGTGTCCCCCGCAGCAGCTCTCTGCCGCTCGAGGACAGATGTCAGGGGAGCAGGAGGCGTGTGCGCCGGCTGCGGTCAGCGCTGGCGGCTAGCGCTGGCACACCGGAGTCTCAGCTCCTGCTGCTCAGAGGCCAGCGCTGAGGCCAAGCGCGGCAGGCTGGGGCGGCCCTCCAGGTCGGGGCTCCTTCCGCTGCCCGTGGTCGGCGCCGAGGGTGGGGGAGTGGCGAGGTGAGGCGTGTGCCCTGCCCCGAATGTGGCCACGCTGGGGCAGGGCGCCCCTGCAGCCCCAGGCTCCTGAGGCTGGCCTTGGTGGCCTCTGTTTCCAGGTGGCTCTGGGGAGGGTGGCCCCAGGGAGGGTGGCTCTGGCCAGGTGCCGGTCCTGGTCCCTCCCAGCCTAGACACTGGCAGGTCCTGGGGTGCACCTTCTGGGGTGCACAGGCCCCCGCGCACCCCTGGATGCAGCCGGGAGGAGCCCAGGTCAAGGCCCACCTGGCCGCACTGACCAGGCCTGCCCTCCCCCAGGTGCCACTCCTGATGACGCCCCCGCCACCGCCGTTCCCTCCTCCCCCACTGTCAGCCGCCGGGCACTCCCCGGAGGACGGAAGGAGAGGGGGCTCGGGGCTCTCGCAGCCCACCCGTGAGTACAGCGGCAGCAGAGCCAGTCTGGGCACGAGGGCCCTGGGGCGGGGGGAGTCGCTGACACCCGACAGCCGGGCACCCGGGTCGCCCCGCCCAGCAATCAGCCTCCCTCCCCACTTCGTCCAGGTTTCTTTATCGTCCACGTGGCTTTGTGGGGGTCCGGACGCCTGGGCGCCCTGCCTTCCGCGCTGCCCGGGGCGCGGGGTCTGTGAGGTGCAGGACTCCGTCAGCCAGGCAGGGGTGGCCCCCTGACACCGCACAGAAAGTCCAGCGGGCCCCAGGGCAGGCTGCCGCCAGGCTGGGTGGGGTTAGCACCCATCGTGCCCCTCAGGAGGCGGGTTCTGTCCCCAGCCTGGGTCCCCGAGGCTGTGGTCTCCCCGAGCAGGCCCCAGCCCTGCTCCCCGGCTCCCCCCTCTCAGCAGCCAGGGCTCTCAGCCCCACCTGGCCCGGCAAGCCCGACCAGCCACCGCCCGGGGAGCAGAGGACCTGCCCAGCGCCACCCAGTGTCTCCGCCAGGGCCACAGCGGCCCCCACGGCAGCCCCCACGGTGCGTTCCCCCACCCCCATCCCATCTCCAAGGCCCCAACCAGCTTCCCACCGCACCTGTTGGGGACCCAGGGAGGCCTCTCCGCACAGCCAAGCCTCCTCCGCAGGGGACACCAGGCTTGCAGCTCCCGAGGGCCCCTGAGCTCTGAGCAGATGGGAGTGTCAGGCGGCAGCAGCTGCCACCCCCTCGCAGGAAGTGTGGGCCCCTTCCCTGCCATCCCATAATGCCACCGCAGCCCAAGCCCCTGCCCCGCCTCTGAACTCAGGGACACTCCCTGCCCCCGGTAGCCGCTGCCCATGGGGAAGGTGGGCCTGAAGCCCCTGCCCGCCCCCTCGGGGCTCCCGGCCAGCCCAGGCCTGGCTGCACGAGGCCTCCCCCTCCCCCTCCCCTTCCGGGCACCAGGCCCTGGGACTGCAGCCCAGTCTTCCCCTGAACAGGTCCTGAGAATTCTCAGCCCCTGAGGTAGTCTGTGTGAAGTCTGGGAGATGCCACGTGGCACCGTCCCTCCTGGAGAGTTGGGGTGCACACAGCACAGTAAAGGCTCTGACAAGCCCTGCAGCACAGACTTTGTCTGTGTAGCTGTTCTGAGAGCAAGTTTGCCCTTGGACAGGGCACGCTCTGGGCAGCCTCCTCTGGACCGCATACAGGGGAGGGAGGAATCTCTGGTTGTGTCTCTCAGCCAGCAGTCCCCCACACACCTGGGCCCCACAGGGGACACCACGGGCCCTTGCCCTTGGGGGCCTCATGCTTAGGCTGGGGGTTCAGGGGTGCTGACGGCGGCCCCACCCACCTCCTCCCAGGATGCCCTGTCTGTGCACCCTGGGCAGAGCCACCCCCACCCCGTGGGTCCCCTGCACTGGGGGCCTGCGTGACCCACGCCCGTCCACACAGGCTGCGGAGATGGCCGTGGCGGGGGACGGCCCGGACGGCCTGGCCGCGCTGCAGCTGGACGGGCTGCCCCCGGGCGACCTGGACGGGCTGGTGCCCACACGGGACGAGTGCGGCCGGCCCATCCCCGAGTGGAAGCGGCAGGTGATGGTGCGCAAGCTGCAGGCGCGCCTGGGCCAGGACCCGGCTCCCGAGGCCCAGGTAGGGGCGGGGGCGGGGGGGGGGGGGGGGGGGGGGCGGGAGGCCTGGTCTGGGCAGGGGAGTGGGAGGTGGGGCGCCCGGAGCCCGGACCTGGGACCTGAGACCAGGTGCCACCGTGGCCTCCGCTGCTTCTGCCAGGAGAGGCGGTTGACCCAGGTCAGAGGACCCTGTGAGCACCCCGTCATCTGCGTTAGGGGTGGGACCCACGGACTCTTCCCTCTGATGGCTTTAATCCTGTAACGTGGCAGACACTGTTCCCGGCAGCGAAGGGCAGGCCCTGCCCTCCCGGGGCTCACCTCCATCAGGGGCTCAGGGTGGGGCCAGGGCGCCCAGAGCCGTGTGTGGGGTGGCGATTCCTGCTGCCGGGAGTCCCCGGGAAGATGACCTGGCAGGGCCAGAAGGAAGGGCGGGCGGAGCCCTGTGGGAGTGGGGGCAGCACATTGCAGGCAGCGGGACAAGAGCAAGGGCCCAGGGCGCAGGGCTGGGGAGCAGGCGGCCAGTCGCCTGCAGGAGGGAGCGAGGAGGGGGGCGGTGGGGGTGAGGTCGGAGAGGAAGCTGGCTGAAGCTGCTCTGTAAGGCCTTGCTGGCCGCTGGGGATCTGAGCAGGGAAGGGCTGTGATTTGGCGTGGATTTCCAAGGCCCCTCTGCCCGCCGTGTGGTCAGCCTGCAGCACTGGAATCTTGCCCGTAGTGGACTCTGTCCGAACAGCGCGTGCTGCGGCCCACGGTCTACAACTGCACTGCGCAATACAACGCCAGCACGTGCAGCTACTTAAAGTCATTCAGATTCATTCAGAGCCGAGGTCCTGCCCCGCGGGTGCACCAGCCACATTCCACGTCTGCAGCCACGGCTGGCTCACGGCTGCTGCGTGACACAGCGAGAGTCTCCACCCTCATGGAACCGAGGACAGCCCCCGTCTGGTGGCCCAGCACGTCCTGGCCTGTCAGGGCTGGAAGCCCACGGGGTCAAGGGCAGAGCCGCGGCTGGGGGCAGCGCAGGGGCTGAGACCTCGGGGACCTGGGGCGTGGGCAGGCTGAGGAGCTCGGGGCTCTGGGCTCGGTCACAGCCCAGCAAGAGCCTGGGGGCCCCGTGTGGCCCTCGTGGGCTGGACGCTGCCCAGCCCGGCAGCGTAAGGTGTGGTGGGGAGGGCGAGTGTCACACAGAGGCCGAAGGTGCCTGGGTCCAGCCACAGAAGGCTCCGGGCTGGCGGGGAGGAGCTGGGAGGCCCTCATGACAGAGCACGGAGCAGATGTGGGGGATCAGGGAGCCGTGGAGAGGGGGCAGAGCAGTGGCACCCCCACCTCTTTGAGGGGAAACTGCCCCCCCACCCCGCCCCCAACCCTGGCCTGGGCTGGCCGGCCACGCCCCGGGAGCCTGTGTGGGCTGGATCACGCGCTCTCCCCACCCCGGCCTGCTGACCCCGCCTTCCTGTGCGCAGGACGGCGGCTGGGGCCCGGGGCCCGGGGAGCAGGCGGCCTGGCGGTACTCCCAGACGCACCAGGCCATCCTGGGCCCCTTCGGGGAGCTGCTGACGGAGGACGACCTGGTGTACCTGGAGAAGCAGATCGCAGACCTGCAGCTGCGGCGGCGCTGCCAGGAGTACGAGAGCCAGCTGGGCCGGCTGGCGGCTGAGCTGCAGGCCCTGCTGCCCGAGCCCCTGGTCAGCATCACCGTCAACAGCCACTTCCTGCCCCGGGCGCCCGGCCCGAGGCCGAGGAGGCCGCGGCCCCGGAGGCCGAGCCGCCGCTGCGCAGAGGCCTCGCGGGCGGCGCCGGCGGCAGCCTGCCCTTCTGGTGCGGCCACATCGCCCGGCTGGTGCGCAGCCTGTCGCTGCTGCTGAAGGGCGTGGACGGGCTGGTGCAGGCGGAGGAGGGGCCGGCGCCCCTGCGCCCCCACGCCTGCGGGGAGGCCCCGGCCAGCCCCCCTGGCAGCGAGGCCCAGCGCGAGATCCGGGAGTGGGGCGTGTCCGTGCGGACGCTGCGGGGCAACTTCGAGGCGGCCCCCCGCCTGCCCTGCGGCCCCGGCCCCTGCGAGCCGGGCGCCCGGCCCGGGCACTGTCTGAGTGGCTGCTGGCCGGCGCCCCCGCAGCCCTGCAGCAGCGTGACCGCAGGGGGGCCCGCGCCCGGCGACGCGGAGGAGGCCAGCGACTCGGGCATCAGCTGCGAGGAGGCCCCGTCGGAGGCCGGCCCCGCGCCCGGCCCAGAACCCGCGCCCGGCCCGGACCCCGCCAGCCTGCGCAAGGAGCGCATCGTCACTCTCTTCCTCGGCCACTGGAAGAAGTCGGCCTGCACGCCGGCCCTCAAGGCGGCGGCCTGCCGGACGCTAGAGGCCCGCCGCGGGGGGCCACGGGCGCAGGACGCAGCCGGGAGCCCCGGGCTGCCGCCCAGACGCCAGGAGTCGCTCGCCCCTGTGGCAGCAGCGCAGCATCATCTCCCACCTGCTGGGCAACTGGAAGACCATCCTGGCGCACGTGCCCGCCCGCCAGCTGCGGCGGCTGAGCCGGCGGCCCCCGGGGCCCCTGTCCCCCGAGCAGTTCCTGCCCCACGTGGCCGGGGCCCCCGTGCCCTACAGCAGCCTCTCACTGGACCTCTTCATGCTGGGCTACTTCCAGCTCCTCGAGTGCGACCTGCCGGCCGAGGAGCGCAGGATGCGCCACCTGCTCTGCTTCGAGGTCTTCGAGCACCTGGGCGCCCACGGCTGGGAGGCCGTGCGCGCCTTCCACAAGGCCGTGACCGACGACGTGGCCGCCGGCCGCCGCGCCTGGACCGACGGCTTTGAGGACATCAAGGCCCGCTTCTTTGGCTCCAGCCAGGGCCCCGCCTGGGACGCCGAGCCCGGCCGCAAGTCGGGGCTGACCCCACTGGGGCCCCTGCCCCACGCCGCCGGCCCCGGCAGCGGCCCCCGGCCCACGGCGGCGCGGCGGCCGGCGCCCGGCTCCCCACGGGGCAGTTTCAACAGCGAGGACATCTGCGGCTACATCGACCGGAGCTTCGCCTTCTGGAAGGAGAAAGAAGCCGAGATGTTCAGCTTTGGAGAGTGACCCGCCGCGGGGGTGGGCTGGGGGCGTGTTGGGTCTCTCTCTCCTCTCCCCTGCGCCGGGCCGGCGAGCCTGGCGGACCCTGTGTCACCCTCCCGCCCCGCCCGTTGCCAGCGTTACTTGCCAGCGTTACCCGCCCCTTCTCCCGCCTGCGTCTCCAAGAGCCCCTCACCCTGCACTGGGGGCCCCTCCCGGTCGCCGAGATGGGGGGAAGGGCGCCCACCCGGCTCCAGGCAGCGGCTCCCGGCCTCCTGCCCTGCTGGACACCCCTGTGGAGCTGGCGGTGGGCACGAGTCTGCTAAACAGAGCTCCCCGTCCCCGCCGCCCACCTCCTGCGCTTGCCCTGCCCCAGCCCCTGGGCAGCGCCGGTGCCCACAGGGCCGGTCCTCACCCCAGCACCAGGGCGAAGCGTCCTGTCCTCCTGCACACGGGCGCACGCTGCCCTGCCCACTCCTGGGTCGCGGTGAGGGTGCACTGGGCCGGGGGGAGTGTCTGTCCCGGGCGTCACCCTTGTCTCACACGCACCAGCCCAGGGTGCCGCTGGCAGCGGGGAGCACCAGGGGGAGCACTCCGGAGGCTGTCTCTCGGGACGGGGCCTGGCTCTTGGGTCCAACACGCAGCCAGCAGGGACAGGCAGGGCTGGTCCCTGCCCTGCGCCGGCTGGCAGGAGGCACGGGCGGAGGGCAGGTCTGGGCTGGGCCACGGTGGGTGGTGTGGGGAGGTCGGACACTCTGGTGTTTCCCATCCCGCATGTGCCCCTTGCTGACTGTGCAGCTCTAAGGGCCTAACGGGTGTGGGGGTGCGGCACACACTGAGCCCCCCGTCACTCCCTGCCCGAGTGTTCAGGGCACCCCTGGCTCGGGTCGCCCCTGCCCACTCACTGTGGCCTCAGGCAAAGTCTCTCCATGGCAGCTGGGCCTTGGTTTCCCAGCTGAGGGGCTGGATCAAGGCCAGGAGGGGCACCCCACAAGCGCCTGGGGTTCCCGGAGGACCTGGGGTGGGCTGCCCAGTGAGGGGTGAGGCGGGGGCTCAAATCTAGGCTCGTGGCCCAGAGGAGGGAGGGGACATCTCTGCTGGGGTGCTCCTGGCTGACCCCAAGTGGCCTCCTGCAGACACCCTGCTTCTGAGGGGCACACCGGGATGGGGCTGGGAACCCTGGCCCCGGCAGCTCACCTGCGTCCCCAGAGCAGGCAGGGGCTGGCCCTGGCAGGCACACTCGCAGCAGCAAGGCCTAGTTGGTGCCTAGAAAGCTGTTGTCCAGTTGGCAAGAAACGCAGAGGCCCCCCGAGCCCCTGTCTGTGCACCCCGGGGGGCTGCAGACGTCGGCGAGGCGGCCAGACCCGGAACACAGGTGCGAAACCCAGGGGCTTCCCGGTGACCCAAACCGCACGAGCCCATCTCCCCAGCCTGGTGTGCAGGAGGAGGACGCAGAGGAGCAGGACACTGTAGGACACTGCAGCAAGGACAGCAAAGGACCTCTGTCCCCACCTCCGTCCTCGCGACTGGAATAAGCACGTGAAGGTGTGAGTTCCCTGCACGTCAGCGTGCAGGGTGACGCGAAACCCAGCTCTTTGGTGTGGTGGTGGTTGTCTCTAAAGTTCATTCGAAAGAAACAACGGACGAAGCCCACTGCAGCGGCCAGGCTGCAAGGAGGACACCAGTGACCCTGCCTCCTGGCAGACGCGGCACACACCCCGAAACGCACACGCACACACACGCAGTACCACGGAGCACGGCAGAAGCCACGGGTGTCACACGGCTGTAACAGACGCTGTGGCTCCATCTCTGTCACCCTCCCCGTCGCTCACAGCCGGGGCAGACTTACAGCCTTACCCAGGGCCCCACGGCGGCCCGGCCCAGGCCACCCTCCGGGCGACCGCACCTGGGGCGACCGCTCGCGCAGCCCCGGAGACATCCTGAGGAGGAACCGCCCCTCACACGCGCCCCGCCGCGCGAAACCGCGAGGTCGTGGACGTGGGTGTTCTAGACAGTAGACGCGGGGCGATTTGTTACGCGGCGATGGGTACAGTAGACAAGTGCAGACAGAAGCGTGAGGAACAGGGGCTCACGGCTCAGACGCGAGGCAGAATCGCAGAGCAGCGGGCCGTCCGACGCAGCGTCCCGACCCGAGGGGTCGCTCAGGCGAGCACAGCGAGGCCAGCTCTGCGTGCACAACGCTGCCCAGAGGACGCTGCGGCGGCAGGTCCCCAGGAGGGGTGTCGGTGACGGAGCGGGCAGCCTGGGCAAGCTCTTCCAAAAGGAAAGAGGATGGCCTTACGGGCCCCCATGCCCCAAGTAACTCCCAGCTGCAGTAAGAGCTGCTGTGTGCAGGGGAGGACACGGGGCCCCAGGGAGGACGGAGAGTTTCAGGGGAGGACACGGGGCCCCAGGAAGGATGCAGAGTCCCAGGGGAGGACGAGGGGCCCCAGGGAGGATGCAGAGTCCCAGGGGAGGACACGGGGCCCCAGGAAGGATGCAGAGTCCCAGGGGAGGACACGGGGCCCCAGGAAGGATGCAGAGTCCCAGGGGAGGACGAGGGGCCCCAGGGAGGACGCGGAGCCCCAGGGGAGGACACGGGGCCCCAGGAAGGATGCAGAGTCCCAGGGGAGGACACGGGGCCCCAGGAAGGATGCAGAGTCCCAGGGGAGGACACGGGGCCCCAGGGAGGATGGAGAGTTTCAGGGGAGGACGGGGGACCCCAGGAAAGATGCAGAGTCCCAGGGGAGGACGAGGGGCCCCAGGGAGGATGCAGAGTCCCATGGGAGGACGGGGGACCCCAGGAAAGATGCAGAGTCCCAGGGGAGGACGGGGGGCCCCAGGAAGGATGCAGAGTCCCAGGGGAGGACAGGGGGCCCCAGGGAGGATGGAGAGTTTCAGGGGAGGATGGGGGGCCCCAGGGAGGATGGAGAGTCCCAGGGGAGGACAGGGGGCCCCAGGGAGGATGGAGAGTCCCAGGGGAGGACGCGGGGCCCCAGGGAGGACGGAGGGCTTCAGGGGAGGACGTGGGGCCCCAGGGAGGACGGGGGACCCCAGGGGAGGATGGGGGTCCCAGGGGAGGAAGGGGGACCCCAGGGGAGGACGGGGGACCCCAAGGGAGGACGTGGGGCCCCAGGGGAGGACAGGGGACCCCAGGGGAGGACGCGGGGCCCCAGAGGAGGACGGGGGACCCCAGGGGAGGACGCGGGGCCCCAGGGGAGGACAGGGGGTCCCAGGGGAGGACGCGGGGTCCCAGGGGAGGATGCGGGCCCCAGGGGAGGACGGGGGACCCCAGGGGAGGACGGCGGGACCCCCAGGGAGGAACTGCGGGGCCCTATTAAACAGGGAGGACGGAACACCCAGGGGGGGACGGGGGACCTCCAGTGGGAGGACGGGGGTCCAGGGTAGGAAGGGGACCTCCAGGGGAGGAACGGGGGACCAGGGGAGAGGACTCGGGGCCCCCAGGGGAAGGACGGGGAACCCCATGGGGAGGACGGGGACCCCAGGGGAGGAGCGGGGTCCACAGGGGAGGACGGGGACCCCAGGGGAGGACGCGGGCCCAGGGGAGGACGGGGGACCCCAGGGAGGACACACGGGGCCCAGGGAGGACGGGGGAACCCAGGGGGAGGACGCGGAGGCCCAGAGGGAGGACGGGGGAACCCCAGGGGAGGAACGCGGTGGTCCCCAGGGGAGGACGGGGGACCCTAAATTAA